TAAAATGTTTTTGGGAAAATAAATTGTTTTAGAAGTAAATAGTTTCGTCATGTTTAGTTTATAAAGGCATATTTTGGTTCAAATCTTGAAGTGGGCCAACTGAACTGGGAAGGGGCTCGTATTTGTTCATCGAAGTAACTACCATCACATTCAATGACCTTTTTTGTATGCAGGTATTGTAGAACTCCCTTGATTTGAAGTAAAAAAATTGGCGGACTGCATTTATTACACCATCTCGGGTTGTCGACTGTCGGTGCCTCATACAGATGTCAAGAGACAAAAAAAGGCGGTAATCACTGGGCTAAATGTCGGGAGAATATGGCGGATGCGGTAACGTTTCCCTGCCCAGTTCAGAAATTTTTTCTAGGGTCACTTTTGCGGTATGAGGCTTGGCGTAATCCTGCAAGGATATCAGTTTCTTCCGATTGATCAAAGAAGGCTGTTTCTGGATGAGTGCTGCTTGTACTCGTTGAAGCTGCTCACAATAAGAGTTAGCAGTGATGGTTTGGCCCTTTTCCAAAAAACTCTTAATGGACAATTCCAGTTGCTGTCCACTAAACACACAACAAAACCTTGTTTGGGTGCAAGAAAGCCTTAGAACGCTTAGAATTCAAACACATGATCCATTTTTCGTCGCAGGTTAATAACCGATTAAGAAATGGTTCATTAGCGTTGCGTGAAATGTTTACTGAACAAATGGTAGCACGACTTAATTTGTTATCATTTGTCAGTTCACGTGGGAGCTATTTGCTTAACTACCACGTCATTCCTAGCTGATGAAGATGCAAACAAATAGTTTCAGCACTCACTCTGAACATTTCTGCAAGTTGTCTGGAATTTGCGTCCACAACCTGTCGAAGATCCTCGTTGTTCATGATCTTTGGTCTCCCTAAGCGCGGTTCATTGCTCAAACTGAGATCTCCAGAAAGAAGTTTTTTGAACCACTTCTATTCTAACGTGCCAAAATCACCTAACCTTTTTTTTATACTTATCACTTCTCAGTAATTTGAATTTCTCTTCATTGGTAATAGAGTGCCCATTCCTAGGCCAAACCCTTTTCAATGATTTTCTTTTGGCAAATTTAATAGTATATAGATTGCATAATTTCACTAGTATTATATCTTTCTTCCTCAGCGATTCAGTATGGTGTTGACGATCAGCAAAAAGTAGTAGTTTTTCTCCGTTAGTTGGTTTACTATAAAACATAATTATCTTCTTCAAGGCCACTCAAGATACCTTTTTCCAGAACGTTTCGTGTTCTGGGTGATTCGCTTTACTGTTTCCGTTGAGGTCGTGGTGCAGGGGTCGTTTTGTCATTTTCCGGACTATGGGATATTAGGCCCCAAGCGCTAATTCATGGACTAGCACCCTTTTTTGTGTAACTCAAGTTTACTCATTTTGATTTGGGTGCTACGTCTTCAATTTTTTTTATGGGATTTTGACCCTCAGCGGTAAGTTCTTTCTTATATACTTTCGGACCACGTGCCTTAATGCGTGTCCTGATGACGTTCGTTCAATATCTGCTTTCTTTTAGTCAATAGAAACAGAAGAGAATCATCATCCTTTCTCCTCCAGTTGGTTGTATCTTGTTGCAGTTTTGCAAATTGGTGGAAGCCATCCCATTGAAAAAAACCCTGATGTGAACAGGTAAAATATCATTCTAATTGTTTTTAATTTGTAAGTTATATTAGTTTTTGAATTTGAATAAATGTCACACATTCAATTAACAATTTCATAGATCTTTATACATTTATTATTGCTTATTGAAATTCTTAGAGACTTCTTCATTTTATTGGACATTCTACGCATTCAAATATGGGGGCAGTGCTACATGGCACCTTCTATTGCATTGATCATGATTCTGATTTTTGAGCTGCCTTAACTTTTTAGAAAAAGGGTATATTAGTTTAGTACATTTTTATCTTTTTTTCCTTTACTTTACTTTTCTTTATTTTTTTATTACTCGCACTCCAGTAGTGGAGCACATGTGCGTTTTTTTTATTAATCAATATATTGTGATTCATTTAATATATGGTTTTACTTGGCTCTCTCTGTGTGTACTGTTACTTAAATTTCGTCATCTCTGTTAGATTCTTCTTTTGTGTGGTGGTCAAGCAAACCAAGTTCCGACTAACATCTCGGGGAGTTGAGGCTTAATCCGTCCTAAGTCACTGGCCCTAAGCCCCCCCCCACCTTCTCTCCGCTTTGAGCTAGGGCCTGAATTTGCACGCCACTAGACAACTGTTTTGCTAGGACCAACCGTTAGATAGTACTTATCATTGTGTTTTATTAATTAACAAAAAAAACGTGTCAATGTGCTGTTCGATCACTAACGGCATCATCTCCGAATGCGGTACGTATTTTTAGCGCGTCCGCCGCCGCTGCAGCTTTTGTATCAAGTGTATACTCATACAGTAAGCAATTTCGAAATACTGTTTTATTAGTCGCCATTTTCAATTATTAAAACTAGATATGTAACAATTTTCAGCATCTTTTTGTGTGTGAGAAAAGAAGGATTCATACTAAAGTGACAACAGGTAACGAACAATCGCTATCGATCAACAACATCCATGGCACTGTGCGATATACAGCAACCGCACGAATTTATCTGGTCATCTGATATTATAGCCCATGAAGTATATCTATTAGCTGTACCAGACAGGTTATTTGTGTTGTTCTTTCTGAAGAGAGGTTATTGTTCAAAGTCATACATTACGATTTTCACCGTCTTTTTTTTGCGTTTCAAAAAGTTTGCCACATCAAAGAAAAATTAAGAATGACAGAATCACATACATAATTTTTTGGTGCTGCCTCACAACTAGGTGCTGATTTGTATCGGCTACGTTACATCGTAAAGTAAATTTCTAAATTTAAATAATGAATGGAAATGAAAATTAATGTGAAATGTAATAACTTTTTACGTTTTATAAATATACCGGTATGTACCATGCTTTCTCACCTGTTAGTTTTAATATACTTCACCTAACAGGGATTTGCTTTTCTTATCGCTCTCTTTTTTCAAATTCAGTAGATTTGCATACGTAACTTCTACGTTGAATAAATAAAGCGGAAGCGCAACTAATTTTTAACTTTGCATACATCTCAAGTAAGTGTGTTTGCGACAAGAAAGCAATATAATTATCATCAACACAAATTATTAGCAAACAAACCACCCCCTCCCCTATGCACCTACGCACTGCCGTTTCTATCCAGCTATAGTATACGACTTACAGCTTAGACATCTAATTATGGTATCTATGAAGCCAGACGTTACATCACACCAGAGTCAAACATTGATAGCTGAAGCATCATGACGTTTAGGCAACACACCCTGCTACTACAAAACGGGTACAACAGCTAGTTGATATCTTGTCAAAAACCTACTTAATGAAACAAAAACCTATATAATGTAAAAAAACCGACATAATGCCACTTTTCAAGATACGTTGTCCGGTTTGTTTTGTTCAATAATAATTAAGTCTCATGAGCTGGTTCACGAACTGAATTGATGGTATGTCTCATATACCAAATCTTTTACACGATTTTCTTACAGTTTACGTTGAAGGCTCAGCTCTTTGGAACTAAGTTCAAAAATTCCCAATTTTGTTCAAGCGTATAGCGTCCCAATTCCAAAATCTCAATAATATTGTGATATGTCAAAATTACATTTTAGCATTCGATGGCAACCACATTGCAACGCAACCGCAAATTTTGTTCGGACGAGAACCTATTTTCAAGATCTTCGTGCACGTCTTCTGACATTTTGGTAGACAGTACGTTTCTGCCACAGAGCAAATTTGGACAAAGTTGACAAATTTTATTTCCTTTAAAGTCCTTTACTGAAGTTACTGTTGTTAAATGGTGAAAAAATGGACCATATAACTGCATTAGTTTCTACTAGGGACGATAAAAAAAGATAATTTTCCGATTAAAGAACTTCTGAGTGGCGTAACTTTGTCATTTTCTAAGCTATTCAGGATGCTTTATCTATCACTTTAAGTATGTTTCAGACAATAGAAAACTCTCTCAACGATACAACAGGAAATAACGTCCCATTTATATATTTTCATGTATTGCCATTCATACTAGTTCATACAACTATAGTTGTAGTCACCGTACCATGGGCCGAACACTGCGCAGACTAATCTTCAGCGCATCTGCTACTCTCTCCTGTATGCATGAGGTGGGTAACAGGGGACTGCTGTTTTCACTCTCATCCTGGAAATACTCTAATAAATTTAGGTGTCGACCTTCTCCATTGATCGTATTTCACCGCATTGTACAATTGTATATTGAAGATTGATAACAGGACAACTCGAATTGCACGCGGATGTCAAGTTGTCACTCTGACAACTATGATTGAAGGTCACTCATACGTATCGACAAAGTTTTCGACAAAACGAATGTATTTGAGCTTACCGAATAAACGTTCACACACTAGGGTAGACTGCATGTGTATGTATGAGGGCGATGGAGATATATACATAAAGGGATACTGGTAGTCATACTTTGACTCGCCAAGAGCTCCAGAAGTACCTGTAATATTTTCTTCATTTCCTATCTTGGACACCCTATGTCTCTGTTCATGACAGTTTAGGATCCTTGTTTATACAAACATTCTGTGTTCTTAAAAGTAGGTATTGATAATATTTTTGTGAATCATACTGTGAAGTATACCTATCATATAATAAATATCTATATCTTACAATGTCAGATTTCGGTATTTTCAGCTTATTACCCAAGAAGAAGGAATTTATGTATTTTATAGGAATTTCACCTCAAATCGTCAAACCGATTTCTCTCACAAGGTATAAACTGATGAAAATTCTTCAAAGAGAATTCAAGAAAATCACTACAAATACGCTACCTACTCAAAAATACAATATATATGCTTAGGAAACGTCAGTACCTTAGAAAATATTTTTCTTTCTTCTGTATTCTGTATTGATGTATAAAATTCGATGAATTTACTCCAAAAATATATTTTCTTCGTGATGTACTAAAACTAAATATAACCTTGTTGCTCGGTAAGGAGCATTTCGTCGACGATACTGCGATACTGCGTAACCAACAGTACTCAGAACCAAGGGCGTATCCAGGCGGGCAGCTGTCCCCTTTCTCCCTAGCTTGGCGAAAATTGAATGAAGACAACGTTTTTTACAAAAATTGAATTATTCATGTACCGGATTCTCCACAAGGTGAATAAATATCTATTAGATGAGAAATTATTAGGATTAGTTGAAATCTTATATATAATTTTACTAAAATGACTTTATATGTTACGTCTGCTTCAAATTAGAACTTGCCTTTGGGACCTCGGTGGTCCGTACCATCAGTGGATTTCTGCGTAATATTATGCATCAATAAAATTACTGACGCCAAGGCTACAAGATCAATAAATATCACCTCTTATGCTAAATATATTGACGGATCACAGTGTATACTGATCTTGTGACGTTAGCTAGGTAAATAAAAAAATGGAACTTGGACAGATTGGAAATTCAAAGTATTTCCGAATTTACTGTAAGTCGTTTTTATGTTTTCCTGAGCTTAGCCCGAAACAAAACTTTTCAAACATCTACATTGTCTACAAATTTCAAACAAATTACACAATAACATTACCACTTTTCTCTTCTACATGGTTGCATAATTAGAATTTCGACCCGACGTCTTAGCTCCCAGTTTTTTAAATTATACCATTTTCGATGTCTTCATTATTATCCTCAAATAATATAAATGCGTTTTCATAAAAAAAATCTTTTTGTTATCATGTTGGTATGAATCTCCCTGTAAGGAGCGGTATATGCTAAGTAGAGTCCACAATTTTTGTAAATAACTTTTTTGATTGCCTTTTATAGTAATGGAGCTGTGTCCAGTTAGATACTAAAAACTCACCCTGTATGTCTAATTTGTTGCAGCAGTTACGTCGCTGGACACCTTGAGCGTTTTCGAAGATTTTTTTGTTGGTAATCACCACAAAGACTTTAACTTTTTGGCTATTATCTCATATAAAACTTTTCGGCAAAAAATTAAGGGTTTTTTGCAACTGTTGCAACGAACGGAATGTGTTTTCATCCCTTCCCAATTAATTCTTCTATAGACTTATATACTAAGTGACATATAAATCCGAACACCCAGTTTAAATGGTTTTATTTTAATAAAATTTTGTATAAGTACTTAATGAAGCATAATAAGTAAATGATAAAAATTTCAAAATGATTGCACTGCTTTAAAGCCCTTTGACCTTTAATAATGTGTGGATGCACCCTGATGTGCTACGCATTCTCCAACGCGCCTAGGCATGCTTCTGATCAGGTGGTCAATGTCCTCCTGTGGTATCTCATTCCAGGCAACCACCAACTCCTCTCGAAGTGCTTCTAGAGTCTGAGGAGGACGTTGCAAATTGAGCAATCTCCTACCCATCATATCCCATACGTGCTCAATTGGGGATAAGTCGGGAGATCTTGGTGGCCATGGTAACAATGTGACATCATTATGTTGAAAGAAGTCTATTGTGCCTCTTGCAACATGTGGTCGGGCATTATCTTGTTGGAAGGTTGGATCTGCCAGGGTGTCAAGATAGGATAAAAGATGGGGTTCTAGAACTTCGTGGATATAACGCTGCGCGTTCATGTTACCTCTGATGAAGATTAAAGGTGACCTGGAACCATAAGCTATAGCATCCCAAACCATAACTCCAACAGTGTGATGAACATGTCTTTCAACAAAAAACTGTGGATTCCTCCTTTCACCACGTCGCCTTCTAACCCTCTCACGACCATCGTGCATGCCTAAACAAAATCGAGACTCATCACTAAAGACAATACTGTTCCATTCCTGATCCCAGAGTGACGTTTTGTCTGCACCACTCAAGGCGATTACGTCGGTGTTCTCGAGTTAAAGGGAGGACCCAGTGTGGCCGGTATGAAAACAAGCCAAATCTTCTCATTCGTCGGTAGTCACTTCGCATGCCAATAGGTCTTCCGTGTACTGCAAACCATTCATTTGCAATGGACCTGGTAGTGGAGAAACGGTCCCTTAAGGCCAATAATCTTAGGCGGCGATCTTCACGGTCTGTTGTTCCACGGCGGCGTCCAGTGCCCCTTGCTCTTTGCGTACGGCCTTCTCGAAGCCATGCCTGACAACACCTAACCACAGTGTCTACACTTCTTTGCACTCTAACTGCAATTGTCCGAAAAGAAAGTCCAGCTTCTCGAAGTCCCACTATACGGCCCCTATCAAACTCACTAAGTTGACGGAATCGTACAGGTCTCCGTACTCTAGGCATCGTAACCGATCGTAAGGATGTCAAGAACCAAAATCCGCCAACGTTGATTCTTCACTGCGGCTGAAATATTCATTTTAGAGCGTTAGTGAATTAAAAAAAGCAGTATAAAAACCGGAATGTCCAACTGATAAGGCTGAAAATTTTTTCACTTGTGATTTACAGTAAGATAAATACATTCACCAACTTTTATTAAAATAAAACCATTTAAACTGGGTGTTCGGATTTATATGTCACTTAGTATATAAAGTTTGATAAAAAAGTTACCAGCATTTTTTATTTCAAGATAGAGATGTATTTGCAACATATTGTTTCCCCATTTTTCAATGCAGATTCCACTCCACATATCTTGCGGATCTCGTGTTGTGTTTGAAGTTATACAAAAGTGCCTGATTAGAATTTGAAAAACGAGTTTTGCTAGATTCCACAATCTTTGATTCCTTCAAATAAACTTTTGACTAAGTCTTAAAATGTATCGCAAAACTTTGTCTTCTTTCTCAATGTTGACTCATCTAAGGAAATTTTTGATTTCGTTCAAAATCAGCAGAAACGACAAAAAAATGTAAGTTTGGATGAGCTATAGATTTGTTGGGCATAATACTGGTACCATTAATTATAGTTTTTTTTTTGGTGATAGATCTTTCGCAACAGGACCGGTTAACAAAAACTACAAATATTTTTCTGTTTCTGTAATAGAGGGCCAAGGACAAACGTCATAAAAAAATGTACTACCGCTTTAAACCTGAAAACCATTTTTCCATTTGAAGTTTTTTTGCTTCTACTGAACTTCCCTGGCTTATTTTCTGAAAAAATAATCACCCTGTTTGAATTTTGAGACGTATGCGTCCAACAAATAAATAAATAAAATTTGCAGTATACCAGACATTTGTGATATATTATTTCAGGTGTTGCTTTCAAGGCAAATGACTAAATTATTACTTAAAAAAATATTTGTTTAGATATTTCAAAACAGTAATCCTAGAAGTTTCCCACATCTATATAAATTATCCAATCGCCATGGAAGACTCCAAATAGGTGAAATGCAAATATAAAGAAAAATATCAAGCACGGTTATGTGGATATGATTTGTGGAACTTCCACCAAACGTTTTGAGTTGGGTACGAACTTGCTCAAAACTGAATAATTTGGTAGTGATTAGTTCTGTTGTAGAGTGAACAAACATAACTTTCTGTCTCATTACGTCTTTGGCCGACTGAATTATTTTATCTCGTGTCGTATAGAGCATGCTGATTGATTGTCTAGCTCACCTGAAGAAGCCAATCGCTGACAAGAATCCATATGCGCGAAATAACAATTCCGATTTTTTGTCCATAAGTCATGTTATTTTTGGTCGTGCTTTTTGTCCTAGAAATAGTGCTATTATTTTTGGTGTGTATAAAAAATGTAAACCAAACTCATAAGCAACGCCACTGATTATCTAAAAATAGCAACGATCACGCTCCACTACGCATGCGATGCGACAGGTTTCGGCATTTCTGGGAACCCCAGAACGCCAACACGCGCAGCGCTATCTCTAGGGTCACCGCTGCGTTGAGAAGCAGAAGCTACCAACGAACAAAGGAGACTATGTACGGATTGTAGAGATGGGGCATCTAGCTAGTCAGATGTGATTCACACACAATCATTTTGATTGAGATTACACGGTGTTTTGGTGTAAAGGTATTTTATTCGAACTATCGAAAATGCGTTCACTTCCAGTGATAGACAATAAATTCATCCCAAAAGGATTATATATCTGGCAATAATGCATGTACTCCCGGCTAAATGAGAACAGCCGTGGTTAGACGGTCATCAGCTGTTTTGTGGACGCCATATGTTTTAGCAGTCATCTCTTATCTCTCTGTAATTTTATTCGCTTTGTCTAACTGCCTTTTTATTTAACTACTCTTTGGTCTGTCTCTGTTAATGAAATTCAGACGTGACTACAACGTTGTGCTGACGTCACCTATTATGCATAACTTTTACTTTCCAAAGTACTTTGAGTAATCACAGTCAAATTTGAAGAAGCATATTTAATTCTGTCTATGATTATTGAAAATCGGACCAAGAAGTTAATAAGACCTGAATTGTCGAATATTAAGCTATGTGGGACAAGTATTGAAACTGAATTTTGAATCAGTTCAAATAAGTTGAAATTGAATTGAAATTCGGTATACACGTTTGGTTTGCCTGGCAATAAAGAAGTAATGACCCCCAGCCATTTTACGAGTAGATCAGACGAAAGGGCTTGATGAGAAAAAACGCATTAAGTAACGTGACGTCGTTCTAAATCGAATACGGAGACCGCTGCAAAGTAGCGATTTATAATTTCTACAGTCACCACTATGGTATCGGAATCAAATGAAACGGTTTAAAGAGAGACACGCCATATCGAATGAAAGGGCTCCATAAGAGAAACGTAATAAGCAAAGCGACGTTATTCTAAGTCCAATATGGTGGCCGCCGCTAAATATCCATTCAATATTACCGCTATGAGTATCGAGTGGAAAGATTTGGTAAGCAAAGTACAATAAGTAAAGCCACGTCATTTTTTTGACATGTAGCTGATCTGATGATGGCCTGGAGGTGGCCGTGGGAATTGTGTTGTATATCGACGCAGACCCATCGAATTTTGACTCGTTTGAGTCTTCTTGACTCTGGTCCTAGGGTCTGATGATTAAGTAAGTCGACTATTATGTGAAAAATACACATATAAATATAATAAACTTATCTCTTCAAAATTAGATATTTCGCAAAAATATAGGTACGTTTTAATTCTGCGCTCAATTGAACAAGGACACTTAATAGATATAAGCATGTCCCCTATATTTACATATTGGCATATTTCCAATCAGGAAATTTTCAAATTGTTAGTTCGTTGATATCGATTTGTAAAAGTTAACAGCGTATCATAGAAATGACAATTTCAGAGTCCATCAACATTTTCATGTTTTAACATGATGCATTAAATTGCTCGTATAAATCCAGAGGTTCTTTTGAGGCATATAGACGATAGAAGAGCTCTGGCGTCATCTTCGTATTTCAGGAGGCAAAAACCCATAAAATTACTTGTACTGTTTTTAATATTACATTGAACGCTACTTTTAAATCTACTGTCAAGATGCTCTTAGCGATATTAAGGATCCGAAACTTGTAAAACCGTTAAGATGAAACCATCAAAAAGCTACATGAATTGAGTCTTTTTTTGAAGCTGTTCAATACAAAGGATGTATGTACCTTACTGGGTATCGAAACATTGTGAAATAATATTTTTTGAAGCCACTAGTGGGTGTCGTAAGAAATCCGTCTCAAAATTTCCGAAAATTGTTTCTAACTGAATACATCAGGTGTAGCTCACCATGGTCCACTGGACGTTATAAACGCACAGTGCAACTTCATGTCTATTTTCTGAGGCTAGCGCAACACGGTATACCTAAACTTGATCCTTATTTTAGACTCTTGAGACGAGAGTTAAATTCAATGTAGCTGGTAGATACTTGCCCATCTCTAGCGTTCCCGCTGTAGTTACCCCATTATCCGTTCCGTGTTGATGTTTCGACACTATATAATGCTGAGACTAACATATACAATTCAGAGTACGGAGTAGATCACTCAGTGATAGGTCTGTGCATACTAACTTTTCTATTTAGCAATTTAGACTAGCGCGAGACTTTTTTCTTCCGACCACCTAGAAAAAATGTACTCTAAAGCGTTGCTGGTTTTGGCGTTGAGCTTGTTGGTAGCTCAGTGTGCAGCTGGGCCTGTCGGTTTCATTTTAACTTACGGTGCCTGTCAGACAGCTTGCAATGCAGCCTACGTGACCTGTTGTACTGCAGCTGGCACCACAGCAGGTAAGATTAATACATTTTTCTGTGTTAATAATTATTTCAATGGACTGTTTTTTATTTCGACCAGGAAATAGTTAGGCTCCTTTTCAAACAGATAATTCAACTTCACGTAGCTTATCTTGCTGCACACAAGATGGCTGACATTCACTGAGACGAGAAGGTCTGTTTTTAACGTGTTTTATTATAGATCTAAAATCTGCCAATCTTCTAAAAATAGATACCTATACATTTTTTATTTTATATCGTTAATTCATTTCATTTGTTTGTCTCTCTTAAAAATTTCACTAAAGTGGAGCATGGAAATTTTTTTGATTACATCATATCGCCATATCTGATTGACAAAATCAAGAGCTTCCATACCTACATTAAATAGGTTTTGGTGAGTATGATACTATTGTTTTAAAACATTTAGATATTGTTCTTTTCTAATACTTAGTTTTTATCTCCTTCTACTTATGTACTATTTTTAATTATGCATAACCTGCTATTTTTACTTGACCTCAATGACTTTTTGGACTAAAGGTCAGTAGAGGGGTAGTCATTTGACTTTTTTGATTATGTTTGGAAATTGATACTAATCACATTCATAAGAACGCATTTCAAGTCTTATGCTTATGTATATAGTTTTGATTATGAATACTAAAATGTTGTATAAACCCGCCATAAATCGTCGTGGATATATTTACACAACTAGAATGTGTTCTAGGTTTGTCAAGTTGGTCGTCAAATTCCGTGATGCCAAGATTGTTCTCCTATCCATTATAATGAACATCCTTTCAAGTATAAAACTTTTTCTGAACTATACAGTTTTCAAAAATGATTATTATTTACGAGATCATCACCACATTGCTGCAAGGGTGACGCAGAAAGCCGTGAAATCTACTGCGTTGCTAATATGTTGCACCAGGCATCTGCAATATGTTAGGTTATTGTCAAACCCAAGAAAGGATCTTTGATATCCACCGATGATATGGTGATAAAAACACATCATGAGTTATTGTTACATTTTGCGACAGCGAGCGATCGGAAAATGTAACAAATACCATTACGCTATACAAATTATCACTGCATGAACGTGGGTGAAAACCATTCCGAAGCTCCTAACAAACGCTATTCATAGTCCATCTACGTTCACACAAAACACAACATGCCCAAAAGCGAGATTGTATAGGTCCGTAGTTTCCTGAATGGTATTGGAATAATCTAACAAAATAAATGATTATTTTTATAGAAAGAAGTCCACATACTTTTCACAATTCTTTACTCGCTGGAAGTACTTGAATCATCGTCCGAATTGTTAATATTAATTATTAAAGGTTCAATTTGAATATCGATCATATTGTCCAGATCCCATATCTTTGTTTCGATTGTCTCTTGAACGTCACGGATGCAATCTTTCCAATTGTTTGTCGTCAATCTGTTGACAGCTTCATAAAACAAATTTTTCACGTCAGAAAATCTAAATGTTCTATTGTGTGAAGCCACATAGTTTTTTATATTTGCACAAATCATTTCAATGGTATTTAATTCGCAGTGATCAGGGGGTAGTCTTAAAACGGTCTTATTTTGGTTTTTAGCCATTTCGTCAATAACATTAAGATTGTATTTATATTTGTGCTGCTTGACTTGACGGATAAGTTTTGCTTTCACCATATTTTCATTAAAATTAACGTCTTTCGATAGGAGCCATATTTGGATTTCTTCCTTTCTTCTGGACATTGTGGAAATCTTTTCTAGTTTGCTAGTGTGGTATGCAGCATTATCAAGTACAATGACGGCATTGCCGTCAAGATTTGGGAGCGTTTTTACAAACCATCGTTCCAATGAACTGCTCTGTCCATTTCTTCATGGTAGTCGGTCGTTTTCTTTGACTCAAATCTCCATAGGGCAGTGGGCACAAAGCCATCTTCACTGCCAATGTGACAGATAACAAATCGTTTTACTTTTTCCTGAAAATAATTATTTTATGTAGTATTCAAGAAAACTAATAATAATACAAGCACAGTATTTGTGTTGGTTCCAAATCTACTGGATATAGCTAAGTTTTGTGTAGCTAAGTTTTCAGCGTGGGCTCATAGATTCAGTCTACTTGACTCCACTTTTACAACGCAACTGACGACCTAGTTAGATACTCGTACCTTAATGGATTCTTTAGGCCAGTGGTTAGTCCAACTAAGAAGGCTTGTCTTGCTGATTTTATTGTAGAGTCAGCCCATACTTTAGGTTTTGTATATCCTGCATTTATCCAGGTTTCATCCAAGTAATAAATCTTCCTGCCCGGGTCGCGGTATTCTTTATTGATTTTAAATAATTCCTTCTCCATAAAAGAATCCCTTGGCTGTCCATCAAAGTACTAACACATTTCTGATCCGTTTTCTATACTCAAAATGAAGTTCTTTGAGTAAACTATAGAATGTGGACCTTTTGAAAAATTGATGGACCTTGCGTCTGATGGCATTCCAATCAAGATTATCAACTGTATCCACCAGCTTTGAGTAATGCAGCCTCTTGTATGGTGGAGACAATTTTTTGCTTTTTTATATTTTTTAACAATGGTGAAAATTGTCTTAGGACATAAGCGTGTTTTGTTCGCCACACGTCTTTCAATATCATGAATTTTTAATTCAGGATGCTCTAAAATTTCGCTCTTATAAACGTTAAGGACAATAATTTCTTTTGAATGAATATTCAAATGTCCCTTCTTGTCACGTTTTCGGGGAGGGGACATCACTAAAGAGGAAGCATGGCTGAAGGAAGCGTTGTGAGAAATATCCTCAGTTTTCTCTGCTGTATCCTTAGACGACATGCTAGCGCATAAGCACACGCTATGTATGCATCGGATATGAACAGCAACTGCCGGCGTCGGCGTGCCGGCGATACCCCGAGCCAGTCGAAACCAGCACATGTTCGTAGTTTTATGGCCTAATGGCAAATAGCTATTGCAAAGCTTAGGCGGCTGCCGCTATGCTGCGCTGCATCCTTGTTGTGCCGGGGCGTAAATGGACTACGAATAGGGTATAGACTGAAATCTCCAATGATGCAATATTGCACAATTTGTGGCGATCCTGACCTTTCATTTCGACCTAAAATGAAGCGCCCTTAGGACCGATCCGAAATGGATGCTAAACAAATGCGAGAAGCAACGCGGTGATGAGCTTCGCTATCCAGCTGGCTTCTATCTCTTTGTAACATGTGTCTATATACACTTCTCTCTCGTACACATTGAACTCTTGCCGTCAGACAAATTTGGTTCTCAGTGTATAAAAGTCAATGTTTCTGGCAATAATTTATTGTGTGTGATTGACACTGTTAATAGCACTGAGTGCTATCAGGTAGTTCATGAATTTGTTTCCTGTTTCAAAATCATCAAGACGACCTTAAAGAAATCCATCTGAATAAACTCGTAAAGAAATTGTTGATGTAATCTGGGTGTAAAATCAAATAGTTCAAATTCCGACACGTCTCTCTCTTTCTTTCTTTATTCCTTTTCCATTTCTATTGTCCATTTTTCAAACTACTGATGCTACATGTTGAGCATTTTAAGCCGTCAAAATACAAGTTTTTATTGCTTTGGTCTACTGTAACGTTTTTACAAAAGCCAGAAGATAGTGTTTAGCGGTTTGTATCCCTTGCCAACTATCTGCTTATATAGGTTCCACCAGTTTCTTTAAGGGCCATGTCTGTTCATCCAGCAAGTATATATAGGGTGTCCAATGAGTACCATGACAAACTTAAGGAGAGTAGCCTCTGGACTGACCTCTCAAATAACAAAAATTTACCTATATAGAAGTGTCACCGTTTTTGAGATATTGAATTTTTTCTTAAATTTAAAAATAAAGAACCTTTTCATCTGTGGTCTTTAGCTGCATCTACAAATAAGGTTATACTTTGTTTATTTTTTCTATAAAATACTTCTAGATAGTTGCTTTATCATATGCAAATGCAATGTAGTTAAAAGATAAATGATAAAATAACCACTTTTGCGATTTATAACCTTCTGATATTGTTTCCTCAAATTTCATAAAATCATATCAGGAGCAGGTGATAATAATGTAGCTTTGTACTATCTAGCATGTCAGTGATCGGTAACCAGTGCATTTTGAATTTAAATTAAATAATTACATTGTGTGTCAGTCACTTAAAAAAGCAGATATTATTTTTTTCTATTCCAAATAGTACGTGTGGTGCCTTTCTAAAATCTGTATTCAGTGAGCAATCTTTTTAATCAATATAATGCAGTTATAGCCCAGTACATTTTTGTGTCACCACAGATTGTCAAAGTTGAGGAAAAAATATCAGAAGGTTATAAATACCAAAATAGTCCTTATCTGATCATGGTACCTTACTACAACTACATTTTATTTGTACATGATAAAGCAACTAGCTAGAAGTATTTTATAGAAAAAATGAACAAAGTATAACCTTATTTGTACATGCAGCTGAGGACCACAGATGAAAATGAAAAAAAATCAATATCTCAAAAACGGTGACATTTTTATATAGGTAAGTTTTAATTATTTGAGAGGTCAGTCCAAAACCTACCTTCTCCTTAAGTTTGTCGTGGTACTTATTGGATACCCTGTATATTAAATTAAGAAACAGCTGTGACAAATTCTCATAGATGATGCAATGGTCGCAGTAACATTGCGAAACGTTCAAATACTTTCTTCCGTCAGCATAGAAAACGTGACTTTCAGACGAATAAATAACACCCTGTATATCCTTCATCCACAATTTACTTAGAAATCGTGTCCATGGTGTTTGTGGCACAATGCACATTACCGTTGTTACCAGACGCTTTTTGGTTCAAAATGTCAGTCAAAATTGTCACAATTGTCTGAATTTTACGATTTTTAAATAATGAATTCAGTATCTTAGTAACAAAATATTCTCGCCCGGGATTGGTGTTCTCTATTCCCCCCATTACCCGCCTCACTTTGATACTAGTTTTATACAAATCCGTGAGCACGTAGGGTCGAGTATCGTTGGAGCTTAAACTATAAACTTACAAGTTGAATGACCGAAAATAAATAAAATAACTCCCTTTATTTGGAACACTAAAGATATTTCAGTTTGAAAAGCAACACGCGCATTTTTAATGATTAAGCCTTAATTTATTTAGAACCTGTCAGCTTGTCGATTCTTAATTTTTCAACAGTGATAACTTTATATAGGCAATGTATTCTGTAGATAAATTATATTAGCAAAACATCAAAATATAAACAATCTACATAATACTAAAATTATCATGTAAAATCGATAACACAAAAAATGTTGGTCAAATATTCTAAATATTTATTAAAAAGAACGCTCTAACACAATGCATTTCATACCAACGTGGGGAACATTTGCTACCGAGTGACGCCATGTGCAAAGGGGGATCGCGGAAAGAGCATATCTTTTCGAGTTATAGTATCATGCGCAAAGAGGGTAATGATTACAAAAGGAAGGTAAAAGAATCAGCAATGTAAAATTAAACAATTGTCTTTTTAGTTCTTCTGTGGACTGTGACCCAATTTGGTTATTTCCTTGAAGGAAAGATTAGTTGTTATTCTTAACTTAACTAACTTTAGTTTTTTATTTAGGTCTTTTCTTAAGGTTCGTTTAAGCGGCCTATGCACTGGCTCCTTATGGTGGCCGGAATGCCTCTAATTTCAAGATTAATTCAAGGTTCGTTATTGGATATACCAAATTGTTGTGTACCTTATTATTTCCTCACAAGACAAACAACATCCATAAACAATGCACATGCAGCACTTTAGTCGAAAATTGCATAACAATGAGCTGGTTAGTTACAACATTACAGGGTGGGTTTTTGCGCTTCCGGAGGACACGGAACCTCATGCTCGCTTGTCGCTTTGGAGCGCTGAACGTCCTTTTGGAAACGGGAATGCCTACTCTATGCCATCTTGGGCTTTGCTGGTTTTGCTCGGTGGCATCTTAAATTACAATGACCGCTTCGCGCAATCTTAGCATGTAGCAGGACCTTGCAGACTATTGTAGTAACCCATTGTGCAGGAATACGAAAATGAAAGGAAAAACAAATGCAGTATCATCTGGGTGACGGATAAATAAAACATATTGTCCAAAAGTGTCAGTTGAACTTAAAGAAGGTAACTGTTGGGACCGAAACGTCGTTCAGTAAAAAGGAATTTTAAACAAATTTATGTGGTTTTGTTTCGGCCAAACAAGCATAGAAGATTATATCAAACTATGATTTTACATTTTTTTTACAGGAACGTTCACCCTTGGTCTGGGGATCCCAGCTGCTCTAGCTGGATGTAGCGTCATCCAAGGCGTCTGCATGGCAGGCTGTGCTACTGCCGCCGCTGCCGCGCCAACTCCTTAGGAACATCTTCGAAGTCTAAGAATGTATTCTGTTTTACTTTTGGCTTTTTTGTAGTTAGTTAGTTAATCATCATTGCATATTGCAGATAATAGATTATACATTATAGATGCTCTTCTTCAAACTCCTCCATCATGTAGCTGACCGATGCAGCTTGTTGTATAAGGTTCCACAATTAAGAACAGTCTATGGAATGTGGTGAAACGCGCTACGCACCATCTTCTGTGTTCTAATGTAAAAAGTTGTGCATATATAATTCTACTACTCGATCACATTGTTGAATAATTGATCTTACAATATTGTTGAAAATATATCGTAAATTTAAACTATGAAATTTGAATACATGAAACTTTGAAGTTAATAGCAACGCCTTTTACCTTCCTTCTTCCGTCACTTTTCACAGAAGAATAGAAAAAAATGAGGATATGACGGCAGATGCGAATATATACTAAATGACATAGAAAATGCAACACCGACTAGGAGTGCTGTAATTTTGAGCATACTTTTACAAGTTTTAGGCTACTGATAAATAGGAAGTGATTAAATTTTAATTCGAAATTTCGCAAAATAGCTTAGATATCACACCTTAATGTTAATAATATGTTGAAGCTCCTTTGTTTGGTATACATTCGTTAAAGTCGTCGCGGCATTGATTGTGTTAGGTGATTGATGTCTTCTTGGTGTATTGTATCCCAATCCATCTAAATTTGATTTCGTAGAGCCTCAAATGATTGTGGAGGGTGCGGTGAATTTTGCAACCTTCTTCCCATCATGTCCCGTACATATTCGATGGAGGAAAGGTCTCAAGATCGAGGAGGCTAAAAAGTCTAAACTAACACGTGCAACATCAGGTCGTGCATTTTGTGTGTGTTTTTATCAAAATTCAATAAATAATTCTGGGTGTTGCATTTTATATGTCACTTAGTATATAAGTCTATTAACTAACAGCAGGTTCAGATTGTACAGTATAAGGTAGACTGGCTTTTGCTTCAATTTGACTATCAATTGAGTCTGGAACCGTATTTTCTAGACTAGATTTTTAAGGCCAATAATCTTAGGCGGCGATCTTCACGGTCTGTTGTTCCACGGCGGCGTCCAGTGCCCCTTGCTCTTTGCGTACGGCCTTCTCGAAGCCATGCCTGACAACACCTAACCACAGTGTCTACACTTCTTTGCACTCTAACTGCAATTGTCCGAAAAGAAAGTCCAGCTTCTCGAAGTCCCACTATACGGCCCCTATCAAACTCACTAAGTTGACGGAATCGTACAGGTCTCCGTACTCTAGGCATCGTAACCGATCGTAAGGATGTCAAGAACCAAAATCCGCCAACGTTGATTCTTCACTGCGGCTGAAATATTCATTTTAGAGCGTTAGTGAATTAAAAAAAGCAGTATAAAAACCGGAATGTCCAACTGATAAGGCTGAAAATTTTTCACTTGTGATTTACAGTAAGATAAATACATTCACCAACTTTTATTAAAATAAAACCATTTAAACTGGGTGTTCGGATTTATATGTCACTTAGTATATAAAGTTTGATAAAAAAGTTACCAGCATTTTTTATTTCAAGATAGAGATGTATTTGCAACATATTGTTTCCCCATTTTTCAATGCAGATTCCACTCCACATATCTTGCGGATCTCGTGTTGTGTTTGAAGTTATACAAAAGTGCCTGATTAGAATTTGAAAAAACGAGTTTTGCTAGATTCCACAATCTTTGATTCCTTCAAATAAACTTTTGACTAAGTCTTAAAATGTATCGCAAAACTTTGTCTTCTTTCTCAATGTTGACTCATCTAAGGAAATTTTTGATTTCGTTCAAAATCAGCAGAAACGACAAAAAAATGTAAGTTTGGATGAGCTATAGATTTGTTGGGCATAATACTGGTACCATTAATTATAGTTTTTTTTTTGGTGATAGATCTTTCGCAACAGGACCGGTTAACAAAAACTACAAATATTTTTCTGTTTCTGTAATAGAGGGCCAAGGACAAACGTCATAAAAAAATGTACTACCGCTTTAAACCTGAAAACCATTTTTCCATTTGAAGTTTTTTTGCTTCTACTGAACTTCCCTGGCTTATTTTCTGAAAAAATAATCACCCTGTTTGAATTTTGAGACGTATGCGTCCAACAAATAAATAAATAAAATTTGCAGTATACCAGACATTTGTGATATATTATTTCAGGTGTTGCTTTCAAGGCAAATGACTAAATTATTACTTAAAAAAATATTTGTTTAGATATTTCAAAACAGTAATCCTAGAAGTTTCCCACATCTATATAAATTATCCAATCGCCATGGAAGACTCCAAATAGGTGAAATGCAAATATAAAGAAAAATATCAAGCACGGTTATGTGGATATGATTTGTGGAACTTCCACCAAACGTTTTGAGTTGGGTACGAACTTGCTCAAAACTGAATAATTTGGTAGTGATTAGTTCTGTTGTAGAGTGAACAAACATAACTTTCTGTCTCATTACGTCTTTGGCCGACTGAATTATTTTATCTCGTGTCGTATAGAGCATGCTGATTGATTGTCTAGCTCACCTGAAGAAGCCAATCGCTGACAAGAATCCATATGCGCGAAATAACAATTCCGATTTTTTGTCCATAAGTCATGTTATTTTTGGTCGTGCTTTTTGTCCTAGAAATAGTGCTATTATTTTTGGTGTGTATAAAAAATGTAAACCAAACTCATAAGCAACGCCACTGATTATCTAAAAATAGCAACGATCACGCTCCACTACGCATGCGATGCGACAGGTTTCGGCATTTCTGGGAACCCCAGAACGCCAACACGCGCAGCGCTATCTCTAGGGTCACCGCTGCGTTGAGAAGCAGAAGCTACCAACGAACAAAGGAGACTATGTACGGATTGTAGAGATGGGGCATCTAGCTAGTCAGATGTGATTCACACACAATCATTTTGATTGAGATTACACGGTGTTTTGGTGTAAAGGTATTTTATTCGAACTATCGAAAATGCGTTCACTTCCAGTGATAGACAATAAATTCATCCCAAAAGGATTATATATCTGGCAATAATGCATGTACTCCCGGCTAAATGAGAACAGCCGTGGTTAGACGGTCATCAGCTGTTTTGTGGACGCCATATGTTTTAGCAGTCATCTCTTATCTCTCTGTAATTTTATTCGCTTTGTCTAACTGCCTTTTTATTCAACTACTCTTTGGTCTGTCTCTGTTAATGAAATTCAGACGTGACTACAACGTTGTGCTGACGTCACCTATTATGCATAACTTTTACTTTCCAAAGTACTTTGAGTAATCACAGTCAAATTTGAAGAAGCATATTTAATTCTGTCTATGATTATTGAAAATCGGACCAAGAAGTTAATAAGACCTGAATTGTCGAATATTAAGCTATGTGGGACAAGTATTGAAACTGAATTTTGAATCAGTTCAAATAAGTTGAAATTGAATTGAAATTCGGTATACACGTTTGGTTTGCCTGGCAATAAAGAAGTAATGACCCCCAGCCATTTTACGAGTAGATCAGACGAAAGGGCTTGATGAGAAAAAACGCATTAAGTAACGTGACGTCGTTCTAAATCGAATACGGAGACCGCTGCAAAGTAGCGATTTATAATTTCTACAGTCACCACTATGGTATCGGAATCAAATGAAACGGTTTAAAGAGAGACACGCCATATCGAATGAAAGGGCTCCATAAGAGAAACGTAATAAGCAAAGCGACGTTATTCTAAGTCCAATATGGTGGCCGCCGCTAAATATCCATTCAATATTACCGCTATGAGTATCGAGTGGAAAGATTTGGTAAGCAAAGTACAATAAGTAAAGCCACGTCATTTTTTTGACATGTAGCTGATCTGATGATGGCCTGGAGGTGGCCGTGGGAATTGTGTTGTATATCGACGCAGACCCATCGAATTTTGACTCGTTTGAGTCTTCTTGACTCTGGTCCTAGGGTCTGATGATTAAGTAAGTCGACTATTATGTGAAAAATACACATATAAATATAATAAACTTATCTCTTCAAAATTAGATATTTCGCAAAAATATAGGTACGTTTTAATTCTGCGCTCAATTGAACAAGGACACTTAATAGATATAAGCATGTCCCCTATATTTACATATTGGCATATTTCCAATCAGGAAATTTTCAAATTGTTAGTTCGTTGATATCGATTTGTAAAAGTTAACAGCGTATCATAGAAATGACAATTTCAGAGTCCATCAACATTTTCATGTTTTAACATGATGCATTAAATTGCTCGTATAAATCCAGAGGTTCTTTTGAGGCATATAGACGATAGAAGAGCTCTGGCGTCATCTTCGTATTTCAGGAGGCAAAAACCCATAAAATTACTTGTACTGTTTTTAATATTACATTGAACGCTACTTTTAAATCTACTGTCAAGATGCTCTTAGCGATATTAAGGATCCGAAACTTGTAAAACCGTTAAGATGAAACCATCAAAAAGCTACATGAATTGAGTCTTTTTTTGAAGCTGTTCAATACAAAGGATGTATGTACCTTACTGGGTATCGAAACATTGTGAAATAATATTTTTTGAAGCCACTAGTGGGTGTCGTAAGAAATCCGTCTCAAAATTTCCGAAAATTGTTTCTAACTGAATACATCAGGTGTAGCTCACCATGGTCCACTGGACGTTATAAACGCACAGTGCAACTTCATGTCTATTTTCTGAGGCTAGCGCAACACGGTATACCTAAACTTGATCCTTATTTTAGACTCTTGAGACGAGAGTTAAATTCAATGTAGCTGGTAGATACTTGCCCATCTCTAGCGTTCCCGCTGTAGTTACCCCATTATCCGTTCCGTGTTGATGTTTCGACACTATATAATGCTGAGACTAACATATACAATTCAGAGTACGGACTAGATCACTCAGTGATAGGTCTGTGCATACTAACTTTTCTATTTAGCAATTTAGACTAGCGCGAGACTTTTTTCTTCCGACCACCTAGAAAAAATGTACTCTAAAGCGTTGCTGGTTTTGGCGTTGAGCTTGTTGGTAGCTCAGTGTGCAGCTGGGCCTGTCGGTTTCATTTTAACTTACGGTGCCTGTCAGACAGCTTGCAATGCAGCCTACGTGACCTGTTGTACTGCAGCTGGCACCACAGCAGGTAAGATTAATACATTTTTCTGTGTTAATAATTATTTCAATGGACTGTTTTTTATTTCGACCAGGAAATAGTTAGGCTCCTTTTCAAACAGATAATTCAACTTCACGTAGCTTATCTTGGTGCACACAAGATGGCTGACATTCACTGAGACGTGAAGGTCTGTTTTTAACGTGTTTTATTATAGATCTAAAATCTGCCAATCTTCTAAAAATAGATACCTATACATTTTTTATTTTATATCGTTAATTCATTTCATTTGTTTGTCTCTCTTAAAAATTTCACTAAAGTGGAGCATGGAAATTTTTTGATTACATCATATCGCCATATCTGATTGACAAAATCAAGAGCTTCCATACCTACATTAAATAGGTTTTGGTGAGTATGATACTATTGTTTTAAAACATTTAGATATTGTTCTTTTCTAATACTTAGTTTTTATCTCCTTCTACTTATGTACTATTTTTAATTATGCATACCTGCTATTTTTACTTGACCTCAATGACTTTTTGGACTAAAGGTCAGTAGAGGGGTAGTCATTTGACTTTTTTGATTATGTTTGGAAATTGATACTAATCACATTCATAAGAACGCATTTCAAGTCTTATGCTTATGTATATAGTTTTGATTATGAATACTAAAATGTTGTATAAACCCGCCATAAATCGTCGTGGATATATTTACACAACTAGAATGTGTTCTAGGTTTGTCAAGTTGGTCGTCAAATTCCGTGATGCCAAGATTGTTTCTCCTATCCATTATAATGAACATCCTTTCAAGTATAAAACTTTTTCTGAACTATACAGTTTTCAAAAATGATTATTATTTACGAGATCATCACCACATTGCTGCAAGGGTGACGCAGAAAGCCGTGAAATCTACTGCGTTGCTAATATGTTGCACCAGGCATCTGCAATATGTTAGGTTATTGTCAAACCAAGAAAGGATCTTTGATATCCACCGATGATATGGTGATAAAAACACATCATGAGTTATTGTTACATTTTGCGACAGCGAGCGATCGGAAAATGTAACAAATACCATTACGCTATACAAATTATCACTGCATGAACGTGGGTGAAAACCATTCCGAAGCTCCTAACAACGCTATTCATAGTCCATCTACGTTCACACAAAACACAACATGCCCAAAAGCGAGATTGTATAGGTCCGTAGTTTCCTGAATGGTATTGGAATAATCTAACAAAATAAATGATTATTTTTATAGAAAGAAGTCCACATACTTTTCACAATTCTTTACTCGCTGGAAGTACTTGAATCATCGTCCGAATTGTTAATATTAATTATTAAAGGTTCAATTTGAATATCGATCATATTGTCCAGATCCCATATCTTTGTTTCGATTGTCTCTTGAACGTCACGGATGCAATCTTCCAATTGTTTGTCGTCAATCTGTTGACAGCTTCATAAAACAAATTTTTCACGTCAGAAAATCTAAATTTCTATTGTGTGAAGCCACATAGTTTTTATATTTGCACAAATCATTTCAATGGTATTTAATTCGCAGTGATCAGGGGTATAGTCTTAAAACGGTCTTATTTTGGTTTTTAGCCATTTCGTCAATAACATTAAGATTGTATTTATATTTGTGCTGCTTGACTTGACGGATAAGTTTTGCTTTCACCATTATTTCATTAAAATTAACGTCTTTCGATAGGAGCCATATTGGATTTCTTCCTTTCTTCTGGACCATTGTGAAATCTTTTCTAGTTTGCTAGTGTGGATATGCAGCAGCATTATCAAGTACAATGACGGCATTGCCGTCAAGATTTGGGAGCGTTTTTTCAAACCATCGTTCCAATGAACTGCTCTGTCCATTTCTTCATGGTAGTCGGTCGTTTTCTTTGACTCAAATCTCCATAGGGCAGTGGGCACAAAGCCATCTTCACTGCCAATGTGACAGATAACAAATCGTTTTACTTTTTCCTGAAAATAATTATTTTATGTAGTATTCAAGAAAACTAATAATAATACAAGCACAGTATTTGTGTTGGTTCCAAATCTACTGGATATAGCTAAGTTTTGTGTAGCTAAGTTTTCAGCGTGGGCTCATAGATTCAGTCTACTTGACTCCACTTTTACAACGCAACTGACGACCTAGTTAGATACTCGTACCTTAATGGATTCTTTAGGCCAGTGGTTAGTCCAACTAAGAAGGCTTGTCTTGCTGATTTTATTGTAGAGTCAGCCCATACTTTAGGTTTTGTTATCCTGCATTTATCCAGGTTTCATCCAAGTAATAATCTTCCTGCCCGTCGCGGTATTCTTATTGATTTTAAATAATTCCTTCTCCATAAAAGAATCCCTTGGCTGTCCATCAAAGTACTAACACATTTCTGATCCGTTTTCTATACTCAAAATGAAGTTCTTTGAGTAAACTATAGAAGTGGACCTTTTGAAAAAATTGATGGACCTTGCGTCGTGATGGCATTCCAATCAAGATTCAACTGTATCCACCAGCTTTGAGTAATGCAGCCTCTTGTATGGTGGAGACAATTTTTGCTTTTTTATATTTTTTAACAATGGTGAAAATTGTCTTAGGACATAAGCGTGTTTTGTTCGCCACACGTCTTTCAATATCATGAATTTTTAATAATCCATGCTCTAAAGCTCTTATAAACGTTAAGGACAAAATTTCTTTTGAATGAATAAATGTCACCTTCTTGTCACGTTTTCGGGGAGGGGGGGGGTCATCACTAAAAGAGAAGGATTGGCTGAAGGAAGCGTGTGAGAAATCCTCAGTTTTCTCTGCTGTATCCTTAGACGACATGCTAGCGCATAAGCACACGCTATGTATGCATCGGATATGAACAGCAACTGCCGGCGTCGGCGTGCCGGCGATACCCCGAGCCAGTCGAAACCAGCACATGTTCGTAGTTTTATGGCCTAATGGCAAATAGCTATTGCAAAGCTTAGGCGGCTGCCGCTATGCTGCGCTGCATCCTTGTTGTGCCGGGGCGTAAATGGACTACGAATAGGGTATAGACTGAAATCTCCAATGATGCAATATTGCACAATTTGTGGCGATCCTGACCTTTCATTTCGACCTAAAATGAAGCGCCCTTAGGACCGATCCGAAATGGATGCTAAACAAATGCGAGAAGCAACGCGGTGATGAGCTTCGCTATCCAGCTGGCTTCTATCTCTTTGTAACATGTGTCTATATACACTTCTCTCTCGTACACATTGAACTCTTGCCGTCAGCAAATTTGGTTCTCAGTGTATAAAAGTCAATGTTTCTGGCAATAATTTATTGTGTGTGATTGACACTGTTAATAGCACTGAGTGCTATCAGGTAGTTCATGAATTTGTTTCCTGTTTCAAAATCATCAAGACGACCTTAAAGAAATCCATCTGAATAAACTCGTAAAGAAATTGTTGATGTAATCTGGGTGTAAAATCAAATAGTTCAAATTCCGACACGTCTCTCTCTTTCTTTCTTTATTCCTTTTCCATTTCTATTGTCCATTTTTCAAACTACTGATGCTACATGTTGAGCATTTTAAGCCGTCAAAATACAAGTTTTTATTGCTTTGGTCTACTGTAACGTTTTTACAAAAGCCAGAGATAGTGTTTAGCGGTTTGTATCCCTTGCCAACTATCTGCTTATATAGGTTCCACCAGTTTCTTTAAGGGCCATGTCTGTTCATCCAGCAAGTATATATAGGGTGTCCAATGAGTACCATGACAAACTTAAGGAGAGTAGCCTCTGGACTGACCTCTCAAATAAAAAATTTACCTATATAGAAGTGTCACCGTTTTTGAGATATTGAATTTTTTCTTAAATTTAAAAATAAAGAACCTTTTCATCTGTGGTCTTTAGCTGCATCTACAAATAAGGTTATACTTTGTTTATTTTTTTCTATAAATACTTCTAGATAGTTGCTTTATCATATGCAAATGCAATGTAGTTAAAAGATAAATGATAAAATAACCACTTTTGCGATTTATAACCTTCTGATATTGTTTCCTCAAATTTCATAAAATCATATCAGGAGCAGGTGATAATAATGTAGCTTTGTACTATCTAGCATGTCAGTGATCGGTAACCAGTGCATTTTGAATTTAAATTAAATAATTACATTGTGTGTCAGTCACTTAAAAAAGCAGATATTATTTTTTTTCTATTCCAAATAGTACGTGTGGTGCCTTTCTAAAATCTGTATTCAGTGAGCAATCTTTTTAATCAATATAATGCAGTTATAGCCCAGTACATTTTTTGTCACCACAGATTGTCAAAGTTGAGGAAAAATATCAGAAGGTTATAAATACCAAAATAGTCCTTATCTGATCATGGTACCTTACTACAACTACATTTTATTGTACATGATAAAGCAACTAGCTAGAAGTATTTTATAGAAAAAATGAACAAAGTATAACCTTATTTGTACATGCAGCTGAGGACCACAGATGAAAATGAAAAAAAATCAATATCTCAAAACGGTGACATTTTTATATAGGTAAGTTTTAATTATTTGAGAGGTCAGTCCAAAACCTACCTTCTCCTTAAGTTTGTCGTGGTACTTATTGGATACCCTGTAATATTAAATTAAGAAACAGCTGTGACAAATTCTCATAGATGATGCAATGGTCGCAGTAACATTGCGAAACGTTCAAATACTTTCTTCCGTCAGCATAGAAAACGTGACTTTCAGACGAATAAATAACACCCTTTATACCTTCATCCACAATTTACTTAGAAATCGTGTCCATGGTGTTTTGTGGCACAATGCACATTACCGTTGTTACCAGACGCTTTTTGGTTCAAAATGTCAGTCAAAATTGTCACAATTGTCTGAATTTTACGATTTTTAAATAATGAATTCAGTATCTTAGTAACAAAATATTCTCGCCCGGGATTGGTGTTCTCTATTCCCCCATTACCCGCCTCACTTTGATACTAGTTTTATACAAATCCGTGAGCACGTAGGGTCGAGTATCGTTGGAGCTTAAACTATAAACTTACAAGTTGAATGACCGAAAATAAATAAAAATAACTCCCTTTATTTGGAACACTAAAGATATTTCAGTTTGAAAAGCAACACGCGCATTTTTAATGATTAAGCCTTAATTTATTTAGAACCTGTCAGCTTGTCGATTCTTAATTTTTCAACAGTGATAACTTTATATAGGCAATGTATTCTGTAGATAAATTATATTAGCAAAACATCAAAATATAAACAATCTACATAATACTAAAATTATCATGTAAAATCGATAACACAAAAAATGTTGGTCAAATATTCTAAATATTTATTAAAAAGAACGCTCTAACACAATGCATTTCATACCAACGTGGGGAACATTTGCTACCGAGTGACGCCATGTGCAAAGGGGGATCGCGGAAAGAGCATATCTTTTCGAGTTATAGTATCATGCGCAAAGAGGGTAATGATTACAAAAGGAAGGTAAAAGAATCAGCAATGTAAAATTAAACAATTGTCTTTTTAGTTCTTCTGTGGACTGTGACCCAATTTGGTTATTTCCTTGAAGGAAAGATTAGTTGTTATTCTTAACTTAACTAACTTTAGTTTTTATTTAGGTCTTTTCTTAAGGTTCGTTTAAGCGGCCTATGCACTGGCTCCTTATGGTGGCCGGAATGCCCTCTAATTTCAAGATTAATTCAAGGTTCGTTATTGGATATACCAAATTGTTGTGTACCTTATTATTTCCTCACAAGACAAACAACATCCATAAACAATGCACATGCAGCACTTTAGTCGAAAATTGCATAACAATGAGCTGGTTAGTTACAACATTACAGGGTGGGTTTTTGCGCTTCCGGAGGACACGGAACCTCATGCTCGCTTGTCGCTTTGGAGCGCTGAACGTCCTTTTGGAAACGGGAATGCCTACTCTATGCCATCTTGGGCTTTGCTGGTTTTGCTCGGTGGCATCTTAAATTACAATGACCGCTTCGCGCAATCTTAGCATGTAGCAGGACCTTGCAGACTATTGTAGTAACCCATTGTGCAGGAATACGAAAATGAAAGGAAAAACAAATGCAGTATCATCTGGGTGACGGATAAATAAAACATATTGTCCAAAAGTGTCAGTTGAACTTAAAGAAGGTAACTGTTGGGACCGAAACGTCGTTCAGTAAAAAGGAATTTTAAACAAATTTATGTGGTTTTGTTTCGGCCAAACAAGCATAGAAGATTATATCAAACTATGATTTTACATTTTTTTTACAGGAACGTTCACCCTTGGTCTGGGGATCCCAGCTGCTCTAGCTGGATGTAGCGTCATCCAAGGCGTCTGCATGGCAGGCTGTGCTACTGCCGCCGCTGCCGCGCCAACTCCTTAGGAACATCTTCGAAGTCTAAGAATGTATTCTGTTTTACTTTTGGCTTTTTGTAGTTAGTTAGTTAATCATCATTGCATATTGCAGATAATAGATTATACATTATAGATGCTCTTCTTCAAACTCCTCCATCATGTAGCTGACCGATGCAGCTTGTTGTATAAGGTTCCACAATTAAGAACAGTCTATGGAATGTGGTGAAACGCGCTACGCACCATCTTCTGTGTTCTAATGTAAAAAGTTGTGCATATATAATTCTACTACTCGATCACATTGTTGAATAATTGATCTTACAATATTGTTGAAAATATATCGTAAATTTAAACTATGAAATTTGAATACATGAAACTTTGAAGTTAATAGCAACGCCTTTTACCTTCCTTCTTCCGTCACTTTTCACAGAAGAATAGAAAAAATGAGGATATGACGGCAGATGCGAATATATACTAAATGACATAGAAAATGCAACACCGACTAGGAGTGCTGTAATTTTGAGCATACTTTTACAAGTTTTAGGCTACTGATAAATAGGAAGTGATTAAATTTTAATTCGAAATTCGCAAAATAGCTTAGATATCACACCTTAATGTTAATAATATGTTGAAGCTCCTTTGTTTGGTATACATTCGTTAAGTCGTCGCGGCATTGATTGTGTTAGGTGATTGATGTCTTCTTGGTGTATTGTATCCCAATCCATCTAAATTTGATTTCGTAGAGCCTCAAATGATTGTGGAGGGTGCGGTGAATTTTGCAACCTTCTTCCCATCATGTCCCGTACATATTCGATGGAGGAAAGGTCTCAAGATCGAGGAGGCTAAAAAGTCTAAACTAACACGTGCAACATCAGGTCGTGCATTTTGTGTGTGTTTTTATCAAAATTCAATAAATAATTCTGGGTGTTGCATTTTATATGTCACTTAGTATATAAGTCTATTAACTAACAGCAGGTTCAGATTGTACAGTATAAGGTAGACTGGCTTTTGCTTCAATTTGACTATCAATTGAGTCTGGAACCGTATTTTCTAGACTAGATTTTTAAGGCCAATAATCTTAGGCGGCGATCTTCACGGTCTGTTGTTCCACGGCGGCGTCCAGTGCCCCTTGCTCTTTGCGTACGGCCTTCTCGAAGCCATGCCTGACAACACCTAACCACAGTGTCTACACTTCTTTGCACTCTAACTGCAATTGTCCGAAAAGAAAGTCCAGCTTCTCGAAGTCCCACTATACGGCCCCTATCAAACTCACTAAGTTGACGGAATCGTACAGGTCTCCGTACTCTAGGCATCGTAACCGATCGTAAGGATGTCAAGAACCAAAATCCGCCAACGTTGATTCTTCACTGCGGCTGAAATATTCATTTTAGAGCGTTAGTGAATTAAAAAAAGCAGTATAAAAACCGGAATGTCCAACTGATAAGGCTGAAAATTTTTTCACTTGTGATTTACAGTAAGATAAATACATTCACCAACTTTTATTAAAATAAAACCATTTAAACTGGGTGTTCGGATTTATATGTCACTTAGTATATAAAGTTTGATAAAAAAGTTACCAGCATTTTTTATTTCAAGATAGAGATGTATTTGCAACATATTGTTTCCCCATTTTTCAATGCAGATTCCACTCCACATATCTTGCGGATCTCGTGTTGTGTTTGAAGTTATACAAAAGTGCCTGATTAGAATTTGAAAAACGAGTTTTGCTAGATTCCACAATCTTTGATTCCTTCAAATAAACTTTTGACTAAGTCTTAAAATGTATCGCAAAACTTTGTCTTCTTTCTCAATGTTGACTCATCTAAGGAAATTTTTGATTTCGTTCAAAATCAGCAGAAACGACAAAAAAATGTAAGTTTGGATGAGCTATAGATTTGTTGGGCATAATACTGGTACCATTAATTATAGTTTTTTTTTTGGTGATAGATCTTTCGCAACAGGACCGGTTAACAAAAACTACAAATATTTTTCTGTTTCTGTAATAGAGGGCCAAGGACAAACGTCATAAAAAAATGTACTACCGCTTTAAACCTGAAAACCATTTTTCCATTTGAAGTTTTTTTGCTTCTACTGAACTTCCCTGGCTTATTTTCTGAAAAAATAATCACCCTGTTTGAATTTTGAGACGTATGCGTCCAACAAATAAATAAATAAAATTTGCAGTATACCAGACATTTGTGATATATTATTTCAGGTGTTGCTTTCAAGGCAAATGACTAAATTATTACTTAAAAAAATATTTGTTTAGATATTTCAAAACAGTAATCCTAGAAGTTTCCCACATCTATATAAATTATCCAATCGCCATGGAAGACTCCAAATAGGTGAAATGCAAATATAAAGAAAAATATCAAGCACGGTTATGTGGATATGATTTGTGGAACTTCCACCAAACGTTTTGAGTTGGGTACGAACTTGCTCAAAACTGAATAATTTGGTAGTGATTAGTTCTGTTGTAGAGTGAACAAACATAACTTTCTGTCTCATTACGTCTTTGGCCGACTGAATTATTTTATCTCGTGTCGTATAGAGCATGCTGATTGATTGTCTAGCTCACCTGAAGAAGCCAATCGCTGACAAGAATCCATATGCGCGAAATAACAATTCCGATTTTTTGTCCATAAGTCATGTTATTTTTGGTCGTGCTTTTTGTCCTAGAAATAGTGCTATTATTTTGGTGTGTATAAAAAATGTAAACCAAACTCATAAGCAACGCCACTGATTATCTAAAAATAGCAACGATCACGCTCCACTACGCATGCGATGCGACAGGTTTCGGCATTTCTGGGAACCCCAGAACGCCAACACGCGCAGCGCTATCTCTAGGGTCACCGCTGCGTTGAGAAGCAGAAGCTACCAACGAACAAAGGAGACTATGTACGGATTGTAGAGATGGGGCATCTAGCTAGTCAGATGTGATTCACACACAATCATTTTGATTGAGATTACACGGTGTTTTGGTGTAAAGGTATTTTATTCGAACTATCGAAAATGCGTTCACTTCCAGTGATAGACAATAAATTCATCCCAAAAGGATTATATATCTGGCAATAATGCATGTACTCCCGGCTAAATGAGAACAGCCGTGGTTAGACGGTCATCAGCTGTTTTGTGGACGCCATATGTTTTAGCAGTCATCTCTTATCTCTCTGTAATTTTATTCGCTTTGTCTAACTGCCTTTTTATTCAACTACTCTTTGGTCTGTCTCTGTTAATGAAATTCAGACGTGACTACAACGTTGTGCTGACGTCACCTATTATGCATAACTTTTACTTTCCAAAGTACTTTGAGTAATCACAGTCAAATTTGAAGAAGCATATTTAATTCTGTCTATGATTATTGAAAATCGGACCAAGAAGTTAATAAGACCTGAATTGTCGAATATTAAGCTATGTGGGACAAGTATTGAAACTGAATTTTGAATCAGTTCAAATAAGTTGAAATTGAATTGAAATTCGGTATACACGTTTGGTTTGCCTGGCAATAAAGAAGTAATGACCCCCAGCCATTTTACGAGTAGATCAGACGAAAGGGCTTGATGAGAAAAAACGCATTAAGTAACGTGACGTCGTTCTAAATCGAATACGGAGACCGCTGCAAAGTAGCGATTTATAATTTCTACAGTCACCACTATGGTATCGGAATCAAATGAAACGGTTTAAAGAGAGACACGCCATATCGAATGAAAGGGCTCCATAAGAGAAACGTAATAAGCAAAGCGACGTTATTCTAAGTCCAATATGGTGGCCGCCGCTAAATATCCATTCAATATTACCGCTATGAGTATCGAGTGGAAAGATTTGGTAAGCAAAGTACAATAAGTAAAGCCACGTCATTTTTTTGACATGTAGCTGATCTGATGATGGCCTGGAGGTGGCCGTGGGAATTGTGTTGTATATCGACGCAGACCCATCGAATTTTGACTCGTTTGAGTCTTCTTGACTCTGGTCCTAGGGTCTGATGATTAAGTAAGTCGACTATTATGTGAAAAATACACATATAAATATAATAAACTTATCTCTTCAAAATTAGATATTTCGCAAAAATATAGGTACGTTTTAATTCTGCGCTCAATTGAACAAGGACACTTAATAGATATAAGCATGTCCCCTATATTTACATATTGGCATATTTCCAATCAGGAAATTTTCAAATTGTTAGTTCGTTGATATCGATTTGTAAAAGTTAACAGCGTATCATAGAAATGACAATTTCAGAGTCCATCAACATTTTCATGTTTTAACATGATGCATTAAATTGCTCGTATAAATCCAGAGGTTCTTTTGAGGCATATAGACGATAGAAGAGCTCTGGCGTCATCTTCGTATTTCAGGAGGCAAAAACCCATAAAATTACTTGTACTGTTTTTAATATTACATTGAACGCTACTTTTAAATCTACTGTCAAGATGCTCTTAGCGATATTAAGGATCCGAAACTTGTAAAACCGTTAAGATGAAACCATCAAAAAGCTACATGAATTGAGTCTTTTTTTGAAGCTGTTCAATACAAAGGATGTATGTACCTTACTGGGTATCGAAACATTGTGAAATAATATTTTTTGAAGCCACTAGTGGGTGTCGTAAGAAATCCGTCTCAAAATTTCCGAAAATTGTTTCTAACTGAATACATCAGGTGTAGCTCACCATGGTCCACTGGACGTTATAAACGCACAGTGCAACTTCATGTCTATTTTCTGAGGCTAGCGCAACACGGTATACCTAAACTTGATCCTTATTTTAGACTCTTGAGACGAGAGTTAAATTCAATGTAGCTGGTAGATACTTGCCCATCTCTAGCGTTCCCGCTGTAGTTACCCCATTATCCGTTCCGTGTTGATGTTTCGACACTATATAATGCTGAGACTAACATATACAATTCAGAGTACGGACTAGATCACTCAGTGATAGGTCTGTGCATACTAACTTTTCTATTTAGCAATTTAGACTAGCGCGAGACTTTTTTCTTCCGACCACCTAGAAAAAATGTACTCTAAAGCGTTGCTGGTTTTGGCGTTGAGCTTGTTGGTAGCTCAGTGTGCAGCTGGGCCTGTCGGTTTCATTTTAACTTACGGTGCCTGTCAGACAGCTTGCAATGCAGCCTACGTGACCTGTTGTACTGCAGCTGGCACCACAGCAGGTAAGATTAATACATTTTTCTGTGTTAATAATTATTTCAATGGACTGTTTTTTATTTCGACCAGGAAATAGTTAGGCTCCTTTTCAAACAGATAATTCAACTTCACGTAGCTTATCTTGGTGCACACAAGATGGCTGACATTCACTGAGACGTGAAGGTCTGTTTTTAACGTGTTTTATTATAGATCTAAAATCTGCCAATCTTCTAAAAATAGATACCTATACATTTTTTATTTTATATCGTTAATTCATTTCATTTGTTTGTCTCTCTTAAAAATTTCACTAAAGTGGAGCATGGAAATTTTTTTGATTACATCATATCGCCATATCTGATTGACAAAATCAAGAGCTTCCATACCTACATTAAATAGGTTTTGGTGAGTATGATACTATTGTTTTAAAACATTTAGATATTGTTCTTTTCTAATACTTAGTTTTTATCTCCTTCTACTTATGTACTATTTTTAATTATGCATAACCTGCTATTTTTACTTGACCTCAATGACTTTTTGGACTAAAGGTCAGTAGAGGGGTAGTCATTTGACTTTTTTGATTATGTTTGGAAATTGATACTAATCACATTCATAAGAACGCATTTCAAGTCTTATGCTTATGTATATAGTTTTGATTATGAATACTAAAATGTTGTATAAACCCGCCATAAATCGTCGTGGATATATTTACACAACTAGAATGTGTTCTAGGTTTGTCAAGTTGGTCGTCAAATTCCGTGATGCCAAGATTGTTCTCCTATCCATTATAATGAACATCCTTTCAAGTATAAAACTTTTTCTGAACTATACAGTTTTCAAAAATGATTATTATTTACGAGATCATCACCACATTGCTGCAAGGGTGACGCAGAAAGCCGTGAAATCTACTGCGTTGCTAATATGTTGCACCAGGCATCTGCAATATGTTAGGTTATTGTCAAACCCAAGAAAGGATCTTTGATATCCACCGATGATATGGTGATAAAAACACATCATGAGTTATTGTTACATTTTGCGACAGCGAGCGATCGGAAAATGTAACAAATACCATTACGCTATACAAATTATCACTGCATGAACGTGGGTGAAAACCATTCCGAAGCTCCTAACAAACGCTATTCATAGTCCATCTACGTTCACACAAAACACAACATGCCCAAAAGCGAGATTGTATAGGTCCGTAGTTTCCTGAATGGTATTGGAATAATCTAACAAAATAAATGATTATTTTTATAGAAAGAAGTCCACATACTTTTCACAATTCTTTACTCGCTGGAAGTACTTGAATCATCGTCCGAATTGTTAATATTAATTATTAAAGGTTCAATTTGAATATCGATCATATTGTCCAGATCCCATATCTTTGTTTCGATTGTCTCTTGAACGTCACGGATGCAATCTTTCCAATTGTTTGTCGTCAATCTGTTGACAGCTTCATAAAACAAATTTTTCACGTCAGAAAATCTAAATGTTCTATTGTGTGAAGCCACATAGTTTTTTATATTTGCACAAATCATTTCAATGGTATTTAATTCGCAGTGATCAGGGGGTAGTCTTAAAACGGTCTTATTTTGGTTTTTAGCCATTTCGTCAATAACATTAAGATTGTATTTATATTTGTGCTGCTTGACTTGACGGATAAGTTTTGCTTTCACCATATTTTCATTAAAATTAACGTCTTTCGATAGGAGCCATATTTGGATTTCTTCCTTTCTTCTGGACATTGTGGAAATCTTTTCTAGTTTGCTAGTGTGGTATGCAGCATTATCAAGTACAATGACGGCATTGCCGTCAAGATTTGGGAGCGTTTTTTCAAACCATCGTTCCAATGAACTGCTCTGTCCATTTCTTCATGGTAGTCGGTCGTTTTCTTTGACTCAAATCTCCATAGGGCAGTGGGCACAAAGCCATCTTCACTGCCAATGTGACAGATAACAAATCGTTTTACTTTTTCCTGAAAATAATTATTTTATGTAGTATTCAAGAAAACTAATAATAATACAAGCACAGTATTTGTGTTGGTTCCAAATCTACTGGATATAGCTAAGTTTTGTGTAGCTAAGTTTTCAGCGTGGGCTCATAGATTCAGTCTACTTGACTCCACTTTTACAACGCAACTGACGACCTAGTTAGATACTCGTACCTTAATGGATTCTTTAGGCCAGTGGTTAGTCCAACTAAGAAGGCTTGTCTTGCTGATTTTATTGTAGAGTCAGCCCATACTTTAGGTTTTGTATATCCTGCATTTATCCAGGTTTCATCCAAGTAATAAATCTTCCTGCCCGGGTCGCGGTATTCTTTATTGATTTTAAATAATTCCTTCTCCATAAAAGAATCCCTTGGCTGTCCATCAAAGTACTAACACATTTCTGATCCGTTTTCTATACTCAAAATGAAGTTCTTTGAGTAAACTATAGAATGTGGACCTTTTGAAAAAATTGATGGACCTTGCGTCTGATGGCATTCCAATCAAGATTATCAACTGTATCCACCAGCTTTGAGTAATGCAGCCTCTTGTATGGTGGAGACAATTTTTTGCTTTTTTATATTTTTTAACAATGGTGAAAATTGTCTTAGGACATAAGCGTGTTTTGTTCGCCACACGTCTTTCAATATCATGAATTTTTAATTCAGGATGCTCTAAAATTTCGCTCTTATAAACGTTAAGGACAATAATTTCTTTTGAATGAATATTCAAATGTCCCTTCTTGTCACGTTTTCGGGGAGGGGACATCACTAAAGAGGAAGCATGGCTGAAGGAAGCGTTGTGAGAAATATCCTCAGTTTTCTCTGCTGTATCCTTAGACGACATGCTAGCGCATAAGCACACGCTATGTATGCATCGGATATGAACAGCAACTGCCGGCGTCGGCGTGCCGGCGATACCCCGAGCCAGTCGAAACCAGCACATGTTCGTAGTTTTATGGCCTAATGGCAAATAGCTATTGCAAAGCTTAGGCGGCTGCCGCTATGCTGCGCTGCATCCTTGTTGTGCCGGGGCGTAAATGGACTACGAATAGGGTATAGACTGAAATCTCCAATGATGCAATATTGCACAATTTGTGGCGATCCTGACCTTTCATTTCGACCTAAAATGAAGCGCCCTTAGGACCGATCCGAAATGGATGCTAAACAAATGCGAGAAGCAACGCGGTGATGAGCTTCGCTATCCAGCTGGCTTCTATCTCTTTGTAACATGTGTCTATATACACTTCTCTCTCGTACACATTGAACTCTTGCCGTCAGACAAATTTGGTTCTCAGTGTATAAAAGTCAATGTTTCTGGCAATAATTTATTGTGTGTGATTGACACTGTTAATAGCACTGAGTGCTATCAGGTAGTTCATGAATTTGTTTCCTGTTTCAAAATCATCAAGACGACCTTAAAGAAATCCATCTGAATAAACTCGTAAAGAAATTGTTGATGTAATCTGGGTGTAAAATCAAATAGTTCAAATTCCGACACGTCTCTCTCTTTCTTTCTTTATTCCTTTTCCATTTCTATTGTCCATTTTTCAAACTACTGATGCTACATGTTGAGCATTTTAAGCCGTCAAAATACAAGTTTTTATTGCTTTGGTCTACTGTAACGTTTTTACAAAAGCCAGAAGATAGTGTTTAGCGGTTTGTATCCCTTGCCAACTATCTGCTTATATAGGTTCCACCAGTTTCTTTAAGGGCCATGTCTGTTCATCCAGCAAGTATATATAGGGTGTCCAATGAGTACCATGACAAACTTAAGGAGAGTAGCCTCTGGACTGACCTCTCAAATAACAAAAATTTACCTATATAGAAGTGTCACCGTTTTTGAGATATTGAATTTTTTCTTAAATTTAAAAATAAAGAACCTTTTCATCTGTGGTCTTTAGCTGCATCTACAAATAAGGTTATACTTTGTTTATTTTTTCTATAAAATACTTCTAGATAGTTGCTTTATCATATGCAAATGCAATGTAGTTAAAAGATAAATGATAAAATAACCACTTTTGCGATTTATAACCTTCTGATATTGTTTCCTCAAATTTCATAAAATCATATCAGGAGCAGGTGATAATAATGTAGCTTTGTACTATCTAGCATGTCAGTGATCGGTAACCAGTGCATTTTGAATTTAAATTAAATAATTACATTGTGTGTCAGTCACTTAAAAAAGCAGATATTATTTTTTTCTATTCCAAATAGTACGTGTGGTGCCTTTCTAAAATCTGTATTCAGTGAGCAATCTTTTTAATCAATATAATGCAGTTATAGCCCAGTACATTTTTGTGTCACCACAGATTGTCAAAGTTGAGGAAAAAATATCAGAAGGTTATAAATACCAAAATAGTCCTTATCTGATCATGGTACCTTACTACAACTACATTTTATTTGTACATGATAAAGCAACTAGCTAGAAGTATTTTATAGAAAAAATGAACAAAGTATAACCTTATTTGTACATGCAGCTGAGGACCACAGATGAAAATGAAAAAAAATCAATATCTCAAAAACGGTGACATTTTTATATAGGTAAGTTTTAATTATTTGAGAGGTCAGTCCAAAACCTACCTTCTCCTTAAGTTTGTCGTGGTACTTATTGGATACCCTGTATATTAAATTAAGAAACAGCTGTGACAAATTCTCATAGATGATGCAATGGTCGCAGTAACATTGCGAAACGTTCAAATACTTTCTTCCGTCAGCATAGAAAACGTGACTTTCAGACGAATAAATAACACCCTGTATATCCTTCATCCACAATTTACTTAGAAATCGTGTCCATGGTGTTTGTGGCACAATGCACATTACCGTTGTTACCAGACGCTTTTTGGTTCAAAATGTCAGTCAAAATTGTCACAATTGTCTGAATTTTACGATTTTTAAATAATGAATTCAGTATCTTAGTAACAAAATATTCTCGCCCGGGATTGGTGTTCTCTATTCCCCCCATTACCCGCCTCACTTTGATACTAGTTTTATACAAATCCGTGAGCACGTAGGGTCGAGTATCGTTGGAGCTTAAACTATAAACTTACAAGTTGAATGACCGAAAATAAATAAAATAACTCCCTTTATTTGGAACACTAAAGATATTTCAGTTTGAAAAGCAACACGCGCATTTTTAATGATTAAGCCTTAATTTATTTAGAACCTGTCAGCTTGTCGATTCTTAATTTTTCAACAGTGATAACTTTATATAGGCAATGTATTCTGTAGATAAATTATATTAGCAAAACATCAAAATATAAACAATCTACATAATACTAAAATTATCATGTAAAATCGATAACACAAAAAATGTTGGTCAAATATTCTAAATATTTATTAAAAAGAACGCTCTAACACAATGCATTTCATACCAACGTGGGGAACATTTGCTACCGAGTGACGCCATGTGCAAAGGGGGATCGCGGAAAGAGCATATCTTTTCGAGTTATAGTATCATGCGCAAAGAGGGTAATGATTACAAAAGGAAGGTAAAAGAATCAGCAATGTAAAATTAAACAATTGTCTTTTTAGTTCTTCTGTGGACTGTGACCCAATTTGGTTATTTCCTTGAAGGAAAGATTAGTTGTTATTCTTAACTTAACTAACTTTAGTTTTTTATTTAGGTCTTTTCTTAAGGTTCGTTTAAGCGGCCTATGCACTGGCTCCTTATGGTGGCCGGAATGCCTCTAATTTCAAGATTAATTCAAGGTTCGTTATTGGATATACCAAATTGTTGTGTACCTTATTATTTCCTCACAAGACAAACAACATCCATAAACAATGCACATGCAGCACTTTAGTCGAAAATTGCATAACAATGAGCTGGTTAGTTACAACATTACAGGGTGGGTTTTTGCGCTTCCGGAGGACACGGAACCTCATGCTCGCTTGTCGCTTTGGAGCGCTGAACGTCCTTTTGGAAACGGGAATGCCTACTCTATGCCATCTTGGGCTTTGCTGGTTTTGCTCGGTGGCATCTTAAATTACAATGACCGCTTCGCGCAATCTTAGCATGTAGCAGGACCTTGCAGACTATTGTAGTAACCCATTGTGCAGGAATACGAAAATGAAAGGAAAAACAAATGCAGTATCATCTGGGTGACGGATAAATAAAACATATTGTCCAAAAGTGTCAGTTGAACTTAAAGAAGGTAACTGTTGGGACCGAAACGTCGTTCAGTAAAAAGGAATTTTAAACAAATTTATGTGGTTTTGTTTCGGCCAAACAAGCATAGAAGATTATATCAAACTATGATTTTACATTTTTTTTACAGGAACGTTCACCCTTGGTCTGGGGATCCCAGCTGCTCTAGCTGGATGTAGCGTCATCCAAGGCGTCTGCATGGCAGGCTGTGCTACTGCCGCCGCTGCCGCGCCAACTCCTTAGGAACATCTTCGAAGTCTAAGAATGTATTCTGTTTTACTTTTGGCTTTTTTGTAGTTAGTTAGTTAATCATCATTGCATATTGCAGATAATAGATTATACATTATAGATGCTCTTCTTCAAACTCCTCCATCATGTAGCTGACCGATGCAGCTTGTTGTATAAGGTTCCACAATTAAGAACAGTCTATGGAATGTGGTGAAACGCGCTACGCACCATCTTCTGTGTTCTAATGTAAAAAGTTGTGCATATATAATTCTACTACTCGATCACATTGTTGAATAATTGATCTTACAATATTGTTGAAAATATATCGTAAATTTAAACTATGAAATTTGAATACATGAAACTTTGAAGTTAATAGCAACGCCTTTTACCTTCCTTCTTCCGTCACTTTTCACAGAAGAATAGAAAAAAATGAGGATATGACGGCAGATGCGAATATATACTAAATGACATAGAAAATGCAACACCGACTAGGAGTGCTGTAATTTTGAGCATACTTTTACAAGTTTTAGGCTACTGATAAATAGGAAGTGATTAAATTTTAATTCGAAATTTCGCAAAATAGCTTAGATATCACACCTTAATGTTAATAATATGTTGAAGCTCCTTTGTTTGGTATACATTCGTTAAGTCGTCGCGGCATTGATTGTGTTAGGTGATTGATGTCTTCTTGGTGTATTGTATCCCAATCCATCTAAATTTGATTTCGTAGAGCCTCAAATGATTGTGGAGGGTGCGGTGAATTTTGCAACCTTCTTCCCATCATGTCCCGTACATATTCGATGGAGGAAAGGTCTCAAGATCGAGGAGGCTAAAAAGTCTAAACTAACACGTGCAACATCAGGTCGTGCATTTTGTGTGTGTTTTTATCAAAATTCAATAAATAATTCTGGGTGTTGCATTTTATATGTCACTTAGTATATAAGTCTATTAACTAACAGCAGGTTCAGATTGTACAGTATAAGGTAGACTGGCTTTTGCTTCAATTTGACTATCAATTGAGTCTGGAACCGTATTTTCTAGACTAGATTTTTAAGGCCAATAATCTTAGGCGGCGATCTTCACGGTCTGTTGTTCCACGGCGGCGTCCAGTGCCCCTTGCTCTTTGCGTACGGCCTTCTCGAAGCCATGCCTGACAACACCTAACCACAGTGTCTACACTTCTTTGCACTCTAACTGCAATTGTCCGAAAAGAAAGTCCAGCTTCTCGAAGTCCCACTATACGGCCCCTATCAAACTCACTAAGTTGACGGAATCGTACAGGTCTCCGTACTCTAGGCATCGTAACCGATCGTAAGGATGTCAAGAACCAAAATCCGCCAACGTTGATTCTTCACTGCGGCTGAAATATTCATTTTAGAGCGTTAGTGAATTAAAAAAAGCAGTATAAAAACCGGAATGTCCAACTGATAAGGCTGAAAATTTTTTCACTTGTGATTTACAGTAAGATAAATACATTCACCAACTTTTATTAAAATAAAACCATTTAAACTGGGTGTTCGGATTTATATGTCACTTAGTATATAAAGTTTGATAAAAAAGTTACCAGCATTTTTTATTTCAAGATAGAGATGTATTTGCAACATATTGTTTCCCCATTTTTCAATGCAGATTCCACTCCACATATCTTGCGGATCTCGTGTTGTGTTTGAAGTTATACAAAAGTGCCTGATTAGAATTTGAAAAACGAGTTTTGCTAGATTCCACAATCTTTGATTCCTTCAAATAAACTTTTGACTAAGTCTTAAAATGTATCGCAAAACTTTGTCTTCTTTCTCAATGTTGACTCATCTAAGGAAATTTTTGATTTCGTTCAAAATCAGCAGAAACGACAAAAAAATGTAAGTTTGGATGAGCTATAGATTTGTTGGGCATAATACTGGTACCATTAATTATAGTTTTTTTTTGGTGATAGATCTTTCGCAACAGGACCGGTTAACAAAAACTACAAATATTTTTCTGTTTCTGTAATAGAGGGCCAAGGACAAACGTCATAAAAAAATGTACTACCGCTTTAAACCTGAAAACCATTTTTCCATTTGAAGTTTTTTTGCTTCTACTGAACTTCCCTGGCTTATTTTCTGAAAAAATAATCACCCTGTTTGAATTTTGAGACGTATGCGTCCAACAAATAAATAAATAAAATTTGCAGTATACCAGACATTTGTGATATATTATTTCAGGTGTTGCTTTCAAGGCAAATGACTAAATTATTACTTAAAAAAATATTTGTTTAGATATTTCAAAACAGTAATCCTAGAAGTTTCCCACATCTATATAAATTATCCAATCGCCATGGAAGACTCCAAATAGGTGAAATGCAAATATAAAGAAAAATATCAAGCACGGTTATGTGGATATGATTTGTGGAACTTCCACCAAACGTTTTGAGTTGGGTACGAACTTGCTCAAAACTGAATAATTTGGTAGTGATTAGTTCTGTTGTAGAGTGAACAAACATAACTTTCTGTCTCATTACGTCTTTGGCCGACTGAATTATTTTATCTCGTGTCGTATAGAGCATGCTGATTGATTGTCTAGCTCACCTGAAGAAGCCAATCGCTGACAAGAATCCATATGCGCGAAATAACAATTCCGATTTTTTGTCCATAAGTCATGTTATTTTTGGTCGTGCTTTTGTCCTAGAAATAGTGCTATTATTTTTGGTGTGTATAAAAAATGTAAACCAAACTCATAAGCAACGCCACTGATTATCTAAAAATAGCAACGATCACGCTCCACTACGCATGCGATGCGACAGGTTTCGGCATTTCTGGGAACCCCAGAACGCCAACACGCGCAGCGCTATCTCTAGGGTCACCGCTGCGTTGAGAAGCAGAAGCTACCAACGAACAAAGGAGACTATGTACGGATTGTAGAGATGGGGCATCTAGCTAGTCAGATGTGATTCACACACAATCATTTTGATTGAGATTACACGGTGTTTTGGTGTAAAGGTATTTTATTCGAACTATCGAAAATGCGTTCACTTCCAGTGATAGACAATAAATTCATCCCAAAAGGATTATATATCTGGCAATAATGCATGTACTCCCGGCTAAATGAGAACAGCCGTGGTTAGACGGTCATCAGCTGTTTTGTGGACGCCATATGTTTTAGCAGTCATCTCTTATCTCTCTGTAATTTTATTCGCTTTGTCTAACTGCCTTTTTATTCAACTACTCTTTGGTCTGTCTCTGTTAATGAAATTCAGACGTGACTACAACGTTGTGCTGACGTCACCTATTATGCATAACTTTTACTTTCCAAAGTACTTTGAGTAATCACAGTCAAATTTGAAGAAGCATATTTAATTCTGTCTATGATTATTGAAAATCGGACCAAGAAGTTAATAAGACCTGAATTGTCGAATATTAAGCTATGTGGGACAAGTATTGAAACTGAATTTTGAATCAGTTCAAATAAGTTGAAATTGAATTGAAATTCGGTATACACGTTTGGTTTGCCTGGCAATAAAGAAGTAATGACCCCCAGCCATTTTACGAGTAGATCAGACGAAAGGGCTTGATGAGAAAAAACGCATTAAGTAACGTGACGTCGTTCTAAATCGAATACGGAGACCGCTGCAAAGTAGCGATTTATAATTTCTACAGTCACCACTATGGTATCGGAATCAAATGAAACGGTTTAAAGAGAGACACGCCATATCGAATGAAAGGGCTCCATAAGAGAAACGTAATAAGCAAAGCGACGTTATTCTAAGTCCAATATGGTGGCCGCCGCTAAATATCCATTCAATATTACCGCTATGAGTATCGAGTGGAAAGATTTGGTAAGCAAAGTACAATAAGTAAAGCCACGTCATTTTTTTGACATGTAGCTGATCTGATGATGGCCTGGAGGTGGCCGTGGGAATTGTGTTGTATATCGACGCAGACCCATCGAATTTTGACTCGTTTGAGTCTTCTTGACTCTGGTCCTAGGGTCTGATGATTAAGTAAGTCGACTATTATGTGAAAAATACACATATAAATATAATAAACTTATCTCTTCAAAATTAGATATTTCGCAAAAATATAGGTACGTTTTAATTCTGCGCTCAATTGAACAAGGACACTTAATAGATATAAGCATGTCCCCTATATTTACATATTGGCATATTTCCAATCAGGAAATTTTCAAATTGTTAGTTCGTTGATATCGATTTGTAAAAGTTAACAGCGTATCATAGAAATGACAATTTCAGAGTCCATCAACATTTTCATGTTTTAACATGATGCATTAAATTGCTCGTATAAATCCAGAGGTTCTTTTGAGGCATATAGACGATAGAAGAGCTCTGGCGTCATCTTCGTATTTCAGGAGGCAAAAACCCATAAAATTACTTGTACTGTTTTTAATATTACATTGAACGCTACTTTTAAATCTACTGTCAAGATGCTCTTAGCGATATTAAGGATCCGAAACTTGTAAAACCGTTAAGATGAAACCATCAAAAAGCTACATGAATTGAGTCTTTTTTTGAAGCTGTTCAATACAAAGGATGTATGTACCTTACTGGGTATCGAAACATTGTGAAATAATATTTTTTGAAGCCACTAGTGGGTGTCGTAAGAAATCCGTCTCAAAATTTCCGAAAATTGTTTCTAACTGAATACATCAGGTGTAGCTCACCATGGTCCACTGGACGTTATAAACGCACAGTGCAACTTCATGTCTATTTTCTGAGGCTAGCGCAACACGGTATACCTAAACTTGATCCTTATTTTAGACTCTTGAGACGAGAGTTAAATTCAATGTAGCTGGTAGATACTTGCCCATCTCTAGCGTTCCCGCTGTAGTTACCCCATTATCCGTTCCGTGTTGATGTTTCGACACTATATAATGCTGAGACTAACATATACAATTCAGAGTACGGACTAGATCACTCAGTGATAGGTCTGTGCATACTAACTTTTCTATTTAGCAATTTAGACTAGCGCGAGACTTTTTTCTTCCGACCACCTAGAAAAAATGTACTCTAAAGCGTTGCTGGTTTTGGCGTTGAGCTTGTTGGTAGCTCAGTGTGCAGCTGGGCCTGTCGGTTTCATTTTAACTTACGGTGCCTGTCAGACAGCTTGCAATGCAGCCTACGTGACCTGTTGTACTGCAGCTGGCACCACAGCAGGTAAGATTAATACATTTTTCTGTGTTAATAATTATTTCAATGGACTGTTTTTTATTTCGACCAGGAAATAGTTAGGCTCCTTTTCAAACAGATAATTCAACTTCACGTAGCTTATCTTGGTGCACACAAGATGGCTGACATTCACTGAGACGTGAAGGTCTGTTTTTAACGTGTTTTATTATAGATCTAAAATCTGCCAATCTTCTAAAAATAGATACCTATACATTTTTTATTTTATATCGTTAATTCATTTCATTTGTTTGTCTCTCTTAAAAATTTCACTAAAGTGGAGCATGGAAATTTTTTTGATTACATCATATCGCCATATCTGATTGACAAAATCAAGAGCTTCCATACCTACATTAAATAGGTTTTGGTGAGTATGATACTATTGTTTTAAAACATTTAGATATTGTTCTTTTCTAATACTTAGTTTTTATCTCCTTCTACTTATGTACTATTTTTAATTATGCATAACCTGCTATTTTTACTTGACCTCAATGACTTTTTGGACTAAAGGTCAGTAGAGGGGTAGTCATTTGACTTTTTTGATTATGTTTGGAAATTGATACTAATCACATTCATAAGAACGCATTTCAAGTCTTATGCTTATGTATATAGTTTTGATTATGAATACTAAAATGTTGTATAAACCCGCCATAAATCGTCGTGGATATATTTACACAACTAGAATGTGTTCTAGGTTTGTCAAGTTGGTCGTCAAATTCCGTGATGCCAAGATTGTTCTCCTATCCATTATAATGAACATCCTTTCAAGTATAAAACTTTTTCTGAACTATACAGTTTTCAAAAATGATTATTATTTACGAGATCATCACCACATTGCTGCAAGGGTGACGCAGAAAGCCGTGAAATCTACTGCGTTGCTAATATGTTGCACCAGGCATCTGCAATATGTTAGGTTATTGTCAAACCCAAGAAAGGATCTTTGATATCCACCGATGATATGGTGATAAAAACACATCATGAGTTATTGTTACATTTTGCGACAGCGAGCGATCGGAAAATGTAACAAATACCATTACGCTATACAAATTATCACTGCATGAACGTGGGTGAAAACCATTCCGAAGCTCCTAACAAACGCTATTCATAGTCCATCTACGTTCACACAAAACACAACATGCCCAAAAGCGAGATTGTATAGGTCCGTAGTTTCCTGAATGGTATTGGAATAATCTAACAAAATAAATGATTATTTTTATAGAAAGAAGTCCACATACTTTTCACAATTCTTTACTCGCTGGAAGTACTTGAATCATCGTCCGAATTGTTAATATTAATTATTAAAGGTTCAATTTGAATATCGATCATATTGTCCAGATCCCATATCTTTGTTTCGATTGTCTCTTGAACGTCACGGATGCAATCTTTCCAATTGTTTGTCGTCAATCTGTTGACAGCTTCATAAAACAAATTTTTCACGTCAGAAAATCTAAATGTTCTATTGTGTGAAGCCACATAGTTTTTTATATTTGCACAAATCATTTCAATGGTATTTAATTCGCAGTGATCAGGGGGTAGTCTTAAAACGGTCTTATTTTGGTTTTTAGCCATTTCGTCAATAACATTAAGATTGTATTTATATTTGTGCTGCTTGACTTGACGGATAAGTTTTGCTTTCACCATATTTTCATTAAAATTAACGTCTTTCGATAGGAGCCATATTTGGATTTCTTCCTTTCTTCTGGACATTGTGGAAATCTTTTCTAGTTTGCTAGTGTGGTATGCAGCATTATCAAGTACAATGACGGCATTGCCGTCAAGATTTGGGAGCGTTTTTTCAAACCATCGTTCCAATGAACTGCTCTGTCCATTTCTTCATGGTAGTCGGTCGTTTTCTTTGACTCAAATCTCCATAGGGCAGTGGGCACAAAGCCATCTTCACTGCCAATGTGACAGATAACAAATCGTTTTACTTTTTCCTGAAAATAATTATTTTATGTAGTATTCAAGAAAACTAATAATAATACAAGCACAGTATTTGTGTTGGTTCCAAATCTACTGGATATAGCTAAGTTTTGTGTAGCTAAGTTTTCAGCGTGGGCTCATAGATTCAGTCTACTTGACTCCACTTTTACAACGCAACTGACGACCTAGTTAGATACTCGTACCTTAATGGATTCTTTAGGCCAGTGGTTAGTCCAACTAAGAAGGCTTGTCTTGCTGATTTTATTGTAGAGTCAGCCCATACTTTAGGTTTTGTATATCCTGCATTTATCCAGGTTTCATCCAAGTAATAAATCTTCCTGCCCGGGTCGCGGTATTCTTTATTGATTTTAAATAATTCCTTCTCCATAAAAGAATCCCTTGGCTGTCCATCAAAGTACTAACACATTTCTGATCCGTTTTCTATACTCAAAATGAAGTTCTTTGAGTAAACTATAGAATGTGGACCTTTTGAAAAAATTGATGGACCTTGCGTCTGATGGCATTCCAATCAAGATTATCAACTGTATCCACCAGCTTTGAGTAATGCAGCCTCTTGTATGGTGGAGACAATTTTTTGCTTTTTTATATTTTTTAACAATGGTGAAAATTGTCTTAGGACATAAGCGTGTTTTGTTCGCCACACGTCTTTCAATATCATGAATTTTTAATTCAGGATGCTCTAAAATTTCGCTCTTATAAACGTTAAGGACAATAATTTCTTTTGAATGAATATTCAAATGTCCCTTCTTGTCACGTTTTCGGGGAGGGGACATCACTAAAGAGGAAGCATGGCTGAAGGAAGCGTTGTGAGAAATATCCTCAGTTTTCTCTGCTGTATCCTTAGACGACATGCTAGCGCATAAGCACACGCTATGTATGCATCGGATATGAACAGCAACTGCCGGCGTCGGCGTGCCGGCGATACCCCGAGCCAGTCGAAACCAGCACATGTTCGTAGTTTTATGGCCTAATGGCAAATAGCTATTGCAAAGCTTAGGCGGCTGCCGCTATGCTGCGCTGCATCCTTGTTGTGCCGGGGCGTAAATGGACTACGAATAGGGTATAGACTGAAATCTCCAATGATGCAATATTGCACAATTTGTGGCGATCCTGACCTTTCATTTCGACCTAAAATGAAGCGCCCTTAGGACCGATCCGAAATGGATGCTAAACAAATGCGAGAAGCAACGCGGTGATGAGCTTCGCTATCCAGCTGGCTTCTATCTCTTTGTAACATGTGTCTATATACACTTCTCTCTCGTACACATTGAACTCTTGCCGTCAGACAAATTTGGTTCTCAGTGTATAAAAGTCAATGTTTCTGGCAATAATTTATTGTGTGTGATTGACACTGTTAATAGCACTGAGTGCTATCAGGTAGTTCATGAATTTGTTTCCTGTTTCAAAATCATCAAGACGACCTTAAAGAAATCCATCTGAATAAACTCGTAAAGAAATTGTTGATGTAATCTGGGTGTAAAATCAAATAGTTCAAATTCCGACACGTCTCTCTCTTTCTTTCTTTATTCCTTTTCCATTTCTATTGTCCATTTTTCAAACTACTGATGCTACATGTTGAGCATTTTAAGCCGTCAAAATACAAGTTTTTATTGCTTTGGTCTACTGTAACGTTTTTACAAAAGCCAGAAGATAGTGTTTAGCGGTTTGTATCCCTTGCCAACTATCTGCTTATATAGGTTCCACCAGTTTCTTTAAGGGCCATGTCTGTTCATCCAGCAAGTATATATAGGGTGTCCAATGAGTACCATGACAAACTTAAGGAGAGTAGCCTCTGGACTGACCTCTCAAATAACAAAAATTTACCTATATAGAAGTGTCACCGTTTTTGAGATATTGAATTTTTTCTTAAATTTAAAAATAAAGAACCTTTTCATCTGTGGTCTTTAGCTGCATCTACAAATAAGGTTATACTTTGTTTATTTTTTCTATAAAATACTTCTAGATAGTTGCTTTATCATATGCAAATGCAATGTAGTTAAAAGATAAATGATAAAATAACCACTTTTGCGATTTATAACCTTCTGATATTGTTTCCTCAAATTTCATAAAATCATATCAGGAGCAGGTGATAATAATGTAGCTTTGTACTATCTAGCATGTCAGTGATCGGTAACCAGTGCATTTTGAATTTAAATTAAATAATTACATTGTGTGTCAGTCACTTAAAAAAGCAGATATTATTTTTTTCTATTCCAAATAGTACGTGTGGTGCCTTTCTAAAATCTGTATTCAATGAGCAATCTTTTTAATCAATATAATGCAGTTATAGCCCAGTACATTTTTGTGTCACCACAGATTGTCAAAGTTGAGGAAAACATATCAGAAGGTTATAAATACCAAAATAGTCCTTATCTGATCATGGTACCTTACTACAACTACATTTTATTTGTACATGATAAAGCAACTAGCTAGAAGTATTTTATAGAAAAAATGAACAAAGTATAACCTTATTTGTACATGCAGCTGAGGACCACAGATGAAAATGAAAAAAAATCAATATCTCAAAAACGGTGACATTTTTATATAGGTAAGTTTTAATTATTTGAGAGGTCAGTCCAAAACCTACCTTCTCCTTAAGTTTGTCGTGGTACTTATTGGATACCCTGTATATTAAATTAAGAAACAGCTGTGACAAATTCTCATAGATGATGCAATGGTCGCAGTAACATTGCGAAACGTTCAAATACTTTCTTCCGTCAGCATAGAAAACGTGACTTTCAGACGAATAAATAACACCCTGTATATCCTTCATCCACAATTTACTTAGAAATCGTGTCCATGGTGTTTGTGGCACAATGCACATTACCGTTGTTACCAGACGCTTTTTGGTTCAAAATGTCAGTCAAAATTGTCACAATTGTCTGAATTTTACGATTTTTAAATAATGAATTCAGTATCTTAGTAACAAAATATTCTCGCCCGGGATTGGTGTTCTCTATTCCCCCCATTACCCGCCTCACTTTGATACTAGTTTTATACAAATCCGTGAGCACGTAGGGTCGAGTATCGTTGGAGCTTAAACTATA